GGGTGTTTAAGGTTAGCGATTTGTCGTATTATCTGGCTGTATGGCAAATGAAAAAATACATTTACTTTACTATGCAAGTTAAACACTTGTGTCTTAAGGTTTTTGGTATAATTTATGGCCCCTTTATAACATATGCTACAGGCCCCGCACTAGCTTAATCCGGCACTGGGCGTCAGGGTCGGGATCGCACCCACGACCTCCTGTATACCAGGTGAGGTAGTTAACATCTCGCCACACGTGTCGAGACCGGAGGCACGGTCACGAGGGGGATCAAGCCGGGCAGACCAGCAGAGGGGCAAGCATGGGGAGCGAAGAGGCTGCCTACAGCGTCACGTGGTTAAAACACGTGCGTACAAGCGAACCTGCCAAAGCTAAGAATCAGTGGTGTGGTCTCGCCAAGGGAACTGTCCGGTAATACTGGTAGGAACCTGGTTACACCAGCCCACAGGGGATTATTGTGTCCGTCTGTCCGTCGTGCAGGGAGGGGCTGGGTGGGGAGGGACTGGGTGGGGAGGGGCTGGGTGGGGTGGGGCTGGGTGGGGAGGGGCTGGTCACCCCGTGGTGCCCTTATAAAACTCAACGTTTAACCTACTCACGCCGGCTTGTGCCCGCCCTCACAGTCGGCCATATTTGCGGAATACACCACGCCGCCGTTGACCCTGGCCATTGACCGAGCAACCCAACGTTCCTACCAGCTCCCTCCGCAGGAATGTGTTTGTATGGAGAGTCGAGAACGGTGGTGCCGAATGTTGCAGAGGTTACTGCGCACTATAACGACAATAGTTTCAAGCAATTTCAAGCATGTTTTATTTTGGGGGGGGGGGGGGGGGGGGGGGGCAGAGGTTTGTGACGTCATATTTGAGGGGAGGTCTAACTTGTTGTGACGCCGTGTGACGAGCGGGGAGGGGGGGTCAAAAATCGTCTAAAATCGCGTGACGTCATTTATGGCCGCCCCCCGTAAAACGCACGCGGCTTGCGCATCCGTCGAGCGGCAACACCTCACGCCACGTGCCAACGCAACCGCCATTCGCCACGAGGTGACTGTGACGTCGAACCACTGGCGCCTGTGCCAGGCCAGGTGCACTTTGAGGCAATCGCGTGAAGTGTCGAAGGCTCGCTGGCAGGAGATGGCCTGTAGCTGCACCAGCTGTTACCCCCCTACTGTGCCAACTTGCTGCACTTTAGCCGCCCGGCACTTTACACACGTCCACCTACACACGTCCACCTACACACGTACACCTACACACGTCCACCTACACAAGTACACCTGCACAAGTACACCTACACACGTCCACCTACACAAGCAACACCACTACCGAGCTGCAGAAGCTATTAGCACGGGACTGCTCTCCCACCCCCGTCTCCCTGCCCCCCCCCCCGTCTCCCTGTTCCCCCCCCCCGTCTCCCTGTTCCCCCCCCGTCTCCCTGTTCCCCCCCCATCTCCCTGTTCCCCCACCTCCCTGTTCCCCCCCCCCACCTCCCTGTTCCCCCCCCCACCTCCCTGTCAACCCCCCCACCTCCCTGTTCCCCCCCCCACCTCCCTGTTCCCCCCCCACCTCCCTGTCCCCCCCCACCTCCCTGTCCCCCCCCACCTCCCTGTTCCCCCCCCACCTCCCTGTCCCCCCCCCCACCTTCCTGTTCCCCCCCCACCTCCCTGTCCCCCCCCGACCTCCCTGTTCCCCCCCCACCTCCCTGTCCCCCCCCACCTCCCTGTTCCCCCCCCCACCTCCCTGTCCCCCCCCCACCTCCCTGTTCCCCCCCCACCTCCCTGTTCCCCCCACCTCCCTGTTCCCCCCCCACCTCCCTGTCCCCCCCCACCTCCCGTCCCCCCCCCACCTCCCTGTTCCCCCCCCCCACCTCCCTGTCCCCCCCCACCTCCCTGTTCCCCCCCCACCTCCCTGTCCCCCCCCACCTCCCTGTTCCCCCCCCCACCTCCCTGCCCCCCCCCACCTCCCTGTTCCCCCCCCACCTCCCTGTTCCCCCCCCACCTCCCTGTTCCCCCCCCACCTCCCTGTTCCCCCCACCTCCCTGTTCCCCCCCCCCCCCCACCTCCCTGTCCCCCCCCACCTTCCTGTTCCCCCCCCACCTCCCTGTCCCCCCACCTCCCTGTCCCCCCCCGACCTCCCTGTTCCCCCCCCACCTCCCTGTTCCCCCCCCCCACCTCCCTGTCCCCCCCCACCTTCCTGTTCCCCCCCCACCTCCCTGTCCCCCCCACCTCCCTGTCCCCCCCCACCTCCCTGTTCCCCCCCCACCTCCCTGTTCCCCCCCCCCCACCTCCCTGTCCCCCCCACCTCCCTGTTCCCCCCCCACCTCCCTGTCCCCCCCCACCTCCCTGTTCCCCCCCCCCCACCTCCCTGCCCCCCCCCCCACCTCCCTGTTCCCCCCCCCACCTCCCTGTTCCCCCCCACCTCCCTGTTCCCCCCCCACCTCCCTGTTCCCCCCACCTCCCTGTTCCCCCCCCACCTCCCTGTCCCCCCCCTACCTCCCTGTTCCCCCCACCTCCCTGTTCCCCCCCCACCTCCCTGTCCCCCCCCCACCTCCCTGTTCCCCCCCACCTCCCTGTCCCCCCCCACCTCCCTGTCCCCCCCCCCCACCTCCCTGTCCCCCCCCCACCTCCCTGTTCCCCCCCCACCTCGCTGTTCCCCCCCCCCACCTCCCTGTTCCCCCCCCACCTCCCTGTTCCCCCCCCACCTCCCTGTCCCCCCCCCCCCACCTCCCTGTCCCCCCCCACCTCCCTGTTCCCCCCCCACCTCCCTGTTCCCCCCCCACCTCCCCTGTTCCCCCCCCACCTCCCTGTTCCCCCCCCCACCTCCCTGTTCCCCCCCCCCACCTCCCTGTCCCCCCCACCTCCCTGTCCCCCCCACCTCCCTGTCCCCCCCCACTTCCCTGTTCCCCCCCACCTCCCTGTTCCCCCCCCCCCACCTCCCTGTTCCCCCCCACCTCCCTGTTCCCCCCCCACCTCCCTGTTCACCCCCACCTCCCTGTTCCCCCCCACCTCCCTGTTCCCCCCCACCTCCCTGTCCCCCCCCCACCTCCCTGTTCCCCCCCCCCACCTCCCTGTCCCCCCCCCCACCTCTCTGTTCCCCCCCACCCCCCTTTCCCCTCCCCCCACCTCCCTGTTCCTCCCCCCACCTCCCTGTTCCCCCCCCCCACCTCCCTGTTCCCCCCCCACCTCCCTGTTCCCCCCCCCCACCTCCCTGTTCCCCCCCCACCTCCCTGTTCCCCCCCCCACCTCCCTGTTCCCCCCCAACTCCCTGTTCCCCCCCCACCTCCCTGTTCCCCCCCCCACCTCCCTGTTTCCCCCCACCTCCCTGTTCTCCCCCCCACCTCCCTGTTCCCCCCCCACCTCACTGTTCCCCCCACCTCCCTGTTCCCCCCCCACCTCCCTGTCCCCCCCCCACCTCCCTGTCCCCCCCCCCCACCTCCCTGTCCCCCCCCCCACCTCTCTGTTCCCCCCCCACCTCCCTGTTCCTCCCCCCCACCTCCCTGTTCCTCCCCCCCCACCTCCCTGTTTCCTCCCGCCCACCTCCCTGTCCCCCCCCACCTCCCTGTTCCCCCCCCCACCTCCCTGTTCCCCCCCACCTCCCTGTTCCCCCCCCACCTCCCTGTTCCCCCCCCCCCCCTGTTCCCCCCCACCTCCCTGTTCCCCCCCACCTCCCTGTTCCCCCCCCCCACCTCCCTGTCCCCCCCCACCTCCCTGTTCCCCCCCCACTTCCCTGTTTCCCCCCCCACCTCCCTGTTCCCCCCCACCTCCTCGTTCCCCCCCCACCTCCCCGTTCCCCCCCCCCACCTCCCCGTTCCCCCCCCCACCTCCCCGTTCCCCCCCCACCTCCCCGTTCCCCCCCCACCTCCCCGTTCCCCCCCCACCTCCCCGTTCCCCCCCCACCTCCCCGTTCCCCCCCCACCTCCCTGTTCCCCCCCCCCCCTCCCTGTTCCCCCCCCCCTCCCTGTTCCCCCCCCTCCCTATTCCCCCCCCCTCCCTGTTCCCCCCCCCTCCCTGTTCCCCTCCCTGTTCCCCCCCCTCCCTGTTCCCCCCCCCCTCCCTGTTCCCCCCCCCCTCCCTGTTCCCCCCCCCTCCCTGTTCCCCCCCCCCCTCCCTGTTCCCCCCCCCCCCCTCCCTGTTCCCCCCCCCCCTGTCCCCCCCCTCCCTGTTCCCCCCCCCTCCCTATTCCCCCCCCCCTCCCTGTTCCCCCCCCCTCCCTGTTCCCCTCCCTGTTCCCCCCCCCCCTCCCTGTTCCCCTCCCTGTTCCCCCCCCCCTCCCTGTTCCCCCCCCCTCCCTGTTCCCCCCCCCTCCCTGTTCCCCCCCCCCTCCCTGTTCCCCCCCCCCTTCCTGTTCCCCCCCCCTCCTTGTCCCCTTCCCCTCCTTGTCCCCCCCCCCTCCCTGTCCCCCCCCCTCTTTGTTCCCTCCCCTCCCTGTTCCCCCCCCCTCCCTGTTCCCCCCCCCTCCCTGTTCCCCCCCCCTCCCTGTTCCCCCCCCTCCCTGTCCCCCCCCCCCCTCCCTGTTCCCCCCCCCCTCCCTGTTTCCCCCCCCCCCTCCCTGTTCCCCCCCCCTCCCTGTTCCCCCCCCCCTCCCTGTTCCCCCCCCCCCCCTCCCTGTTCCCCCCCCCCCCTCCCTGTTCCCCCCCCCCCCCCCTGTCCCCCCCCCTCCCTGTTCCCCCCCCCCCCGTCCCCCCCCCCTCCCTGTTCCCCCCCCCACCTCCCTGTTCCCCCCCCCCACCTCCCTGTTCCCCCCCCCCACCTCCCTGTTCCCCCCCCCCACCCTGTTCCCCCCCCCCACCTCCCTGTTCCCCCCCCCCACCTCCCTGTTCCCCCCCCCCCACCTCCCTGTTCCCCCCCCCCACCCTGTTCCCCCCCCCCACCTCCCTGTTCCCCCCCCCCACCTCCCTGTTCCCCCCCCCCCCGTCTCCCCCCTCCACCTCCCCCCTCCACCCCCGCGCACCGATCCCCCCCCACCACCATCCCCCCCTCCCCCACGTGGAGCCCCTCACTTCCGGGAAGTAACCTGTCGCGCGCGCGCGCGTGCCCACGTGACTCGGCGCGACCAATGAGCGGCGCCTCCTCCTCCTGCTCCTCCTCGCTGCGGCTGCGTGGCGGAGCGAGCCGCGGGCTGCAGGAGAGACGCCGCGATGTCCGCCGCGGTGAGCTGCGGTCTCTACATCTCCCCTCTCTTCTCCTCTCCCCTGGAGCCTAACAACTTACTTGGGCCTCTTTGCTGCCCGATTAAAGAATGTGAATGCTCCTCCCCAGCTCCATTCTCGTCTCCCACTCGGTGCCCCCTACCCCAACTCATCTCCCACCCACCACCCCCCCCCCCCCACGTTGTTCCCCGTCTCTCCTCGCCTCTACCAGTCTCTCCTCGCCTCTCCCCGTCTCTCCTCGCCTCTCCCCGTCTCTCTTCGCCTCTCCCCGTCTCTCCTCGCCTCTCCCAGTCTCTCCTCGCCTCTCCCCGTCTCTCCTCGCCTCTCCCCGTCTCTCCTCGCCTCTCCCCGTCTCTCCTCGCCTCTCCCCGCCTCTCCTCGCCTCTCCCCGTCTCTCCTCGCCTCTCCCCGTCTCTCCTCGCCTCTCCCCGTCTCTCCTCGCCTCTCCCCGTCTCTCCTCGCCTCTCCCCGTCTCTCCTCGCCTCTCCGTCCCCGTGTGAGTCCACGAAGCCCCCCACAACCACCATCCCCCCCCCCCCCCCGGGTCGGACATCCCTCGAGCCGGCAGCGGCTCCGATCGCCGTCTGCCGAGGAACAGAGCCTTTTGTGCCGTGGTTATAACTAGTTGCCGCTCGTGCGTGCGATAGGCGATAATCGATTAACTCGCATCGAACGTGGCAATGCATCGGCACGGCTCGCGTTGTTGCAACTTCAGGCGGCGGCGGCGGCACGAACTCCACACTCCCTGTCTCTCCACGTGTCTCCCAAAGTGAACTCATCCCCCCACCACCACCATCACCCCCATCGCTCCCCTTGTCCATGCCCGTACTCTCACAGTGACTCTGTTCCCTTGCCCCCCTCACTGCCCCCCTCCCTGCCCCCCTCGCTGCCCACCCTGCCCCCTCCCTCCCCCCCCTCTCTGCTCTCCCCCCGCCCCCCCCTGCCCCCCTCCCTGCCCCTCCTTGCCCCCCTCCCTGCTCCCCCCTGCCCCCCCTGCCCTGCCCCCCTCGCTGCCCCCCCTGCCCCCCCTCCCTGCCCCCCCTCCCTGCCTCTCCCTGCCCCTCCTTGCCCCCCTCCTTGCCCCCTCCCTGCTCCCCCCTGCCCCTCCCTGCCCCCTCCCTGCCCCCCTCGCTGCCCCCCCTGCCCCCCTCCCTGCCCCTCCTTGCCCCCCTCCTTGCCCCCCTCCCTGCCCCTCCCTGCCCCCTCCCTGCCCCCCTCGCTGCACCCCCCTCCCCCCCCCTCCCCCCTCGCTGCCCCCCCTCCCTGCCCCCCTCGCTGCCCCCCCCCCTGCCCCCCCCTGTCCCCCTCACTCCGCCAGGACTGCCCGTCGTCACACGCTGCTGGTGGCCGTGCCCCTGCTGAGCACGCCGCGGAGCCGGCGGCTGATCGCCAGTCGGAGCCTGAAGCGGCTGACGACGACGGCGACTTGAAGGACCTCGACTCGGAGCAGTCGCCAGGCAACGGGAGATGCCCGGAGAAGATGACGAGCCCGTGCCGTCGTCATGGAGATGACGACGTCCACGTGGCCGGCATCGACCTCGAGCAAGTCGACGGTGGATGCCACCACCACCAGCAGCAGCAGCAGCAGCCGGGCACGGATCGTGCAGAAGACGACTGGACAACGTTGAGGGGGAACAGCAGCAGCAGCAGCAGCAGGAGCAGCAGCAGGAGGAGGAGGAGGAGGGGGGGGAGCGATGGGCAGCTTGGGGCGGCCTGCGACTTCGAGCCGCCGGAGGGGGGGTTTGGCTGGGTGGTCATGGTCGCCTCCATGTGGTGCAACGGGGCCATCTTCGGCATCCACAACTCGTTCGGGATCCTCTTCCTCGCCCTGCTCCAGTTCGGGGGCGACGCGGGCAGCAGCAGCAAGGCGTGTGAGTGGTGGGGGGTGGTGGGGGGGTGTGAGTGGTGGGGGGTAGTGGGGGGGTGTGAGTGGTGGGGGGGTGTGAGTGGTGGGGGGGTAGTGGGGGGGGGGTGGGGGGTGTGTGAGTGGTGGGGGGGTGTGTGTGGGGGGGGGTGAGTGGGGGGGGGGTGAGTGGTGGGGGGGGGGGGTGTGAGTGGTGGGGGTGGTGTGAGTGGTGGGGGTGGTGTGAGTGGTGGGGGGGGTGTGAGTGGTGGGGGGGGTGTGAGTGGTGGGGGTGGTGTGAGTTGTGGGGGGGTGTGAGTGGGGGGGGGGTGAGTGGGGGGGGGGGTGAGTGGTGGGGGGGCGTGTGAGTGGTGGGGGGGCTGTGAGTGGTGGGGGGGGTGTGAGTGGTGGGGGGGGGTGTGAGTGGTGGGGGGGGGGCTCGTTCACTTGGGGGGTGGTGGGGGTCGCTCACTGGGGGGGGGGGGGGGGGGTGTGAGTGGTGGGGGGGGGTGTGAGTGGTGGGGGGCGTGTGAGTGGTGGGGGGCGTGTGAGTGGTGGGGGCGTGTGAGTGGTGGGGGGCGTGTGAGTGGTGGGGGGCGTGTGAGTGGTGGGGGGCGTGTGAGTGGTGGGGGGCGTGTGAGTGGTGGGGGGCGTGTGAGTGGTGGGGGGCGTGTGAGTGGTGGGGGGCGTGTGAGTGGTGGGGGGCGTGTGAGTGGTGGGGGGCGTGTGAGTGGTGGGGGGCGTGTGAGTGGTGGGGGGCGTGTGAGTGGTGGGGGGCGTGTGAGTGGTGGGGGGCGTGTGAGTGGTGGGGGGCGTGTGAGTGGTGGGGGGCGTGTGAGTGGTGGGGGGCGTGTGAGTGGTGGGGGGCGTGTGAGTGGTGGGGGGCGTGTGAGTGGTGGGGGGCGTGTGAGTGGTGGGGGGCGTGTGAGTGGTGGGGGGCGTGTGAGTGGTGGGGGGCGTGTGAGTGGTGGGGGGCGTGTGAGTGGTGGGGGGCGTGTGAGTGGTGGGGGGCGTGTGAGTGGTGGGGGGCGTGTGAGTGGTGGGGGGCGTGTGAGTGGTGGGGGGCGTGTGAGTGGTGGGGGGCGTGTGAGTGGTGGGGGGCGTGTGAGTGGTGGGGGGCGTGTGAGTGGTGGGGGCGTGTGAGTGGTGGGGGGCGTGTGAGTGGTGGGGGGCGTGTGAGTGGTGGGGGGCGTGTGAGTGGTGGGGGGCGTGTGAGTGGTGGGGGGCGTGTGAGTGGTGGGGGGCGTGTGAGTGGTGGGGGCGTGTGAGTGGTGGGGGGCGTGTGAGTGGTGGGGGGCGTGTGAGTGGTGGGGGGCGTGTGAGTGGTGGGGGGCGTGTGAGTGGTGGGGGGCGTGTGAGTGGTGGGGGGCGTGTGAGTGGTGGGGGGCGTGTGAGTGGTGGGGGGCGTGTGAGTGGTGGGGGGCGTGTGAGTGGTGGGGGGCGTGTGAGGGTGGGGGCGTGTGAGTGGTGGGGGCGTGTGAGTGGTGGGGGGCGTGTGAGTGGTGGGGGGCGTGTGAGTGGTGGGGGGCGTGTGAGTGGTGGGGGGCGTGTGAGTGGTGGGGGGCGTGTGAGTGGTGGGGGGCGTGTGAGTGGTGGGGGGCGTGTGAGTGGTGGGGGGCGTGTGAGTGGTGGGGGGCGTGTGAGTGGTGGGGGGCGTGTGAGTGGTGGGGGGCGTGTGAGTGGTGGGGGGCGTGTGAGTGGTGGGGGGCGTGTGAGTGGTGGGGGGCGTGTGAGTGGTGGGGGGCGTGTGAGTGGTGGGGGGCGTGTGAGTGGTGGGGGGCGTGTGAGTGGTGGGGGGCGTGTGAGTGGTGGGGGGCGTGTGAGTGGTGGGGGGCGTGTGAGTGGTGGGGGGCGTGTGAGTGGTGGGGGGCGTGTGAGTGGTGGGGGGCGTGTGAGTGGTGGGGGGCGTGTGAGTGGTGGGGGGCGTGTGAGTGGTGGGGGGCGTGTGAGTGGTGGGGGGGCGTGTGAGTGGTGGGGGGCGTGTGAGTGGTGGGGGGCGTGTGAGTGGTGGGGGGCGTGTGAGTGGTGGGGGGCGTGTGAGTGGTGGGGGGCGTGTGAGTGGTGGGGGGCGTGTGAGTGGTGGGGGGCGTGTGAGTGGTGGGGGGCGTGTGAGTGGTGGGGGGCGTGTGAGTGGTGGGGGGGCTGTGAGTGGTGGGGGGGGTGTGAGTGGTGGGGGGGGGGGGCTCGTTCACTTGGGGGGTGGTGGGGGTCGCTCACTGGGGGGGGGGGGGGGGCACTGAACTTTTTCACACGAGACTTGTGTGTTCTCTGCTGCCTGTGTGTGGTGTTCATCGTCGGTACATCTGGATTTCCAATCCATATCAGAATCAGAATCTGTATTTATACAGGAGGAATCCGATGAGCTATTAAGCTCTTTTTCACAGATGTCCGATCGGGGCGGGTGAGAACGTTACAACAACAAACAATTCAAACACATGATAGTAGTGCAAATTACAACAATGGTAAACAAATCACCCGAACACATACCATTAAAACTAAACCATCTCCATCCTAACAGACAAACCCCAACTAAGGTATTAGTAACTTATATTTTAGAAGGAACCTGGCCGCACATGATTATCCCGACAAAGTGGCACCAGCATTTGGACATTCATATCACATGTATACGCGTGTCGGCAGTTCGGTTCTGTATCCCGGCACAGCAATTTAAAACACTGGGGGAAGAAAAATAAATGAAAAACAACTAAATTAAATCGCGACGTTTCGGGCGCAACACAAGCGTCCTTCTTCAGGTGGGGACAACGCAGCGAAAGCACCCTGCTTAAGTGACACACAGTGACACACTTAAGTGACACGCTTAAGTGACACACAGTTATACGCTTAAGTGACACAGTGACACAGTTACACGCTTAAGTGACACACTTAAGTGACACACAGTGACACGCTTAAGTGACACAGTGACACACTTAAGTGACACGCTTAAGTGACACACTTAAGTGACACACAGTGACACGCTTAAGTGACACACTTAAGCGGTTGTGCTTTCGCTACGTTGTCCCCCCCCTGAAGAAGGACGCTTGTGTTGCGCCCGTAACGTCGTGGTTTAATTTAGTTGTTTTTCATTGATTTTATTTTTTACCTACGTGAATTTACCGAAAAGACCAAAGAGTATGAATCCTTGCAGTCACGAAAGCTTCAAATCTAGAACCGGGGGAAGAGTTAAGGGGTCCAACTCGGACTTTAAGCAAAAAACATTGATACTTACAATTTTCGTTAATATATTTCCTGAAAGTGGGATGAGAGTCTGGCCGGTTTGTTAAACTTTAACCTTCAAAACTCCGGAGCGCTTGACCCAGATTCTACCGTGGCTAGGAGATGTTTAGCTACCTCGCCTGGTATGCAGGAGGTCGTGGGTTCGATCCAGACCCAGACGCCTGCTGTATATTTGGAGTTTGCGTCTCTCTCATCATCACGGTGGCTAGGAGATGTTAACTACCTCGCCTGGTATGCAGGAGGTCGTGGGTTCGATTTAGACCCTGACGCCTGCTGTTGTTTCTTTGGAGTTTGTGTGTCTTCTCATCATCATGGTGGCTAGGAGATGTTAACTACCTCGCCTGGTGTGCAGGAGGTCGTGGGTTCGATCCCGACCCAGACGCCTGCTGCTGTATATTTGGAGTTTGCGTATCTCTGTTTCCACGTGGTCGCGTGGATTTTTCTCCGGGTCCTCCAGTTTTTCCCTCCATATTTAGAAACATGCGTTTAGAGTCTTTGGCTGCTATAAATTTCCACACGACGATTAGCCACTTCGGTGATCTATTATTTGTGGCCAGTTCACTTCTGAAAAAAGAGCTGTAGAACTCAGCGGGCCTTATCTGGTAAAACACAGAAAAATAAATTGCGTGGATGCACCTTGACCACGTTTGGGGAATGTGCCATCCCAGTGGAATGCAGGAGGTCTCTGCCGCCATACCGTATTCATAATAATGTTATAATAATGCTGGTGCTTCACATTTGGGACTTTTGTATGGGCTATTGCTGCACTAGACGAGAACACGCCACATGCACCCAGATGTGGTTTTAATTGTTGAACTCTGTTAACAGTCAACTCCAGCATTGTTCAAGGCTGCAGTCCCGGTGTCCGTTCCTTTACACGGGGGGAGTCCTGATGATGATGAATTGGAGCTGGGCGGGAGTGTGTGATGAGTTGGTTTTGGGAAAAACAGAACTTGATGAAAAGCATCTGCATGGCAATATGTCCAAGGTATGTCATCGGCGCATGTTGCCTACTGTGACTTAATAGATCAGAAACACGGACACGTATTTGCAAGGTGAATGAAATATGTGCCAACAAGAGTAGAGAGATGCACGCTTGGAAATAGTGTGAAACAAAGAGGTAGGTCTGGATTAGATGATATCCACTGGTTATAGATATAATTGTAACTGCAGGATACACCGCTAGGGGGGACGGTGGGTGGGAGAGATTATTTACGAAGTGGCAAAGCAAGAACTCGCCCGAAAGCACGTTCCACTGCAGAGATGGAGCAATGAAATCGGCCCGTGAGCAGGAGCTGAGTGGACTTTTGCATCACAGGACTGTGATTATATGGCGACGGCTTTGGGGCACCAACAGTGGATATAGATCACGGCTGAGGTTGAATGTGATGAAGAGCCCATTGAGACCAGATGTCTCTTCTGCACGGCAGACTTGGGGAAAATTGGAACATTTAAGGTTGTAGAGTAACAAAGTAAAGTTCAGCGTTAAGCAACTTTACAGTACTGTACGTGGGTTCTGAACACGTTTTTGAGGTTAATTTATCTTTAACCAGGTGGGAACTCTAGAAACAAAGATCGTCTGATTTTTAAGCATTACCTGGGCCACAAAAATTCCTAACATCAAAAAGCGAGTGGTGACGCATAACCATGCAGATTGCAGCAATGTAAGAACGAAGATGAGAGGAACATTGGTTTGAGCTCATAGATGTCCCACAGTGTGCGGACCCGGCTTTGGCTGTCGTGCGGCTGGGTGCGTGAGGGTTTCCGGGCTCACCCGGGTCACGCCAGGACTTTCGGTGGAACTGGGAGCTGGGTTGGGCGAGATTCGGCTGGATGTCGGGTTGAGAGATGATTCAACCCGCCCCCTCCCTCCCACTGTAACTAACAAAGCCGCTGTTATGTTTTTAGCGCCTTTCTAAGTGGTGGTGGGCAGAGGAATGTTTCGTTAAGTTAAAGTGTAACGATAGATTGTTGGCATTGTGCCGTGGTCCGCACCACATGTGCCTTATTGCCAATTACTGTGCATGGCTCTGTCGACAGTGAGTGATTGTTTGGAAATTATGTTTTTAATTGGGTCAGATTCCTGAGTGCATTACTCACATTAAGCAACTTCCAGTCGCGGTGAGTGGCAGTGGATTTTGGGAGATTAGGGGGCCTTTGCATGCCAACGTTGTGCAGTTCCACGGCTACGTTGGACCCTGGCCGATGCCTGTGGAGCCAGAGGGAAGCCATCGGCTTGTGATAGAGAGAGGAAGACGCCATCCTGTTTTACTGTGCAGGTATCCCTCGATTTACGAACATTTAGCTTTTACGAAATTTTCATGTTTTACACAATTGACAAAGCACGAACACTTTGCGATTTGACGAAATCGAATTTCCACGTGAATGGAATTTCACTTGACAAGCGCCGTGAGGTCAAACAAGAACGACCCAGGAGGCTGTATGTCCATCCGCGACAGGGTCGTGGTGTCCCTGCGGTACAACAGTAACGTCTCCACATCGCCTTGCCAGTCCATTACAACAGCGGTCCCCAACCTTTCTGGCACCAGGTACCGGTTTCGTGGAAGACAATTTTTTCATGGACCAGGGGTGGGGGGGTTTCATCATTGGGTCGTTCCCCCTTTTCAAAAAAGTTCTCCAGCGACGTTTGTTTTTTACTCATGTTGGCTAGGGGTTAGAGCTTGTGGGCTTACCAACACTGTGACTGAGACGAGTGAGCAGTGCGGGAAAGAGGCACGGATGGAAGTGGTAAATAAAATAATGGGGGCGGGCCACGCACGGACTCACCGCTCACCACTATGCGGTGTGTAGAGTTTGTACACACACGGACTCACCGCTCACCAGTATGCGTTGAGTCCGTGTGTACACACACGGACTCACCGCTCTCACCTCCTGCTGCTGTGTGGCCCGGTTCCTAACAGGCTGTGGACCGGTACCGGTCTGTGGCCCGGGGGTTGAGGACCCCTGCATTACAACATGTATATCTCGATTTAAAGCGTTCGTGACTGCAGGGATTCATCTTCTTGGTGCTTTCGGTAAAGTCACGTAGAAGGGAAGTAATAAAATAATAAAAATAAAACATAATAAAATAATTCTCACGACGTTTCGGCCACAACGCAAGCAGCCGTCCTCAGGTGAAGACCAGGTCTGTCGGGGAGACAGCGTCTGAAATGGCTGCTTGCGTTGTGGCCGAAACGTCGTGAGAATTCTTTTATTATGTTTTATTTTTATTATTTTATTACCTCCCTTCTACGTGACTTTACCGAAAGAACCAAGAAGATGAACATGTGTATATCCTTTGGTGAGTTCCCTGAAACGGTTAATTATTAATGTTTTAAAATACTGATTATTCAATTGTTCTAATATTTGTTTTATGATTATTTTTTATTGTGAAAAGTACGGGTGTAACGGTGGCGAGATGTTAACTACCTCGACTAGTATACAGGAGCTCGTGGGTTTGATCCCTACCCTGAAGCCTGCTTTATATTTGGAGTTTGCGTGTTCTCCCCGTGGTCACGTGGAGTTTTGTCTGGGTCCTCCGGTTTTCCCCTCCACATTTATGAACTTGCGTTCAGAGTATTTGGCTGCTAGATATTTCCACGTGATAAGCCACTTGGTTGAGCTGACATTTGTGATAGCAAGTCGCTTCTGCAAAAAGTGCTATGTAGCAGCTTGGTGGGCATTACTCGGTGAAATAAAAAATAGTTTGGTGTTTCTTTTTTGAATAGGTTAGGAGTAGCGTTTAAATTACTCTCTGAACTCTGAAACGCCTCCTTAATTTTAGTATAAAATATTATTTTTTATTAAATTTCTTTTACGCGTTTTTTTTTTACCTATGCATCCCTATTTGTAAATCGAGGGTTACCTGTATTTCACAGGGCCTCAGTAACGACAAGTATGCGTCGCAACAATTCTGGCATCATTTGAAAGCCGTCTGGCTACTCCAAAATCCAGAGGAAAATGTAAACATTTGAAAAAAGTTCTGGTTAAGAAAACAACCATTTTTTTATACATATAAAAAAATCTTTCTAGATTTGAAGCTTTCGTGACTGCAAGGATTCATACTCTTAGGTTTTTTCGGTTAAGTCACGTAGGTAAAATTAAAAGAAATAATACAAATAAATAATAAAGTAATAGAAATAATATAAATAAAATAATAAATCACGACGTTTCTGCCCACTTCAGCATTTGTCTCGTGCTGTGGTTGTCCCACCTGATGACGGACGCTTGTGTTGCGCCCGAAACGTGATTTATTATTTTCTTTCTATTATTTATTTCTATTATTTATTTTTATTATTTATTTTTAATTTTACCTACGTGACTTTACCGAAAAAACCTAAGAGTATAAAAAAAATCTGTTAAACTCTATTCCTATTTGTGCAACAAACCCCCTGTGAATTTTGTTCAGAACCTGTTTCTTCAGTTCATTTATGGAGTCAGTGGGCGGACCCACAAGGGGGAATGGATACGAAACGTAAGCCGAAGCAGTGCGCGACGATGCGTGGGAGAGATGGCAGCTTCTATTGAGTCACACTGAGAGAGAGAAATAAGTATAACCCGTAAAAACAAAGTTTTTCACTATAAATCCTTTATATGCGTGGCGGCTAGAGTCCTCTCGTCCTCTGGCTTGAGATGGCTGCCACCTATGGGTCAGATGATTGCATTGCACCATTAAGCAATTGGTAATGAAATATAATATTTTTGTCCTAAAAAGTGTAAAATTTTGGAATTTTTTTTTCACGAACATTAATTGTCACGCACAACGAGCCTGTGTGAAAAATGTCAGCTCGATTGGATCACGGGAAGTGGGTTAAAAAACGACCGAAAGATTTGCACGGTCCTAAGCAAGCAAGCGAACTTAATATAAAGGATTTAAAAAGGGGGCACGTGGGCCAGAGAACGGAGAACAGCAGAAGCGCAAGCTCGATGTGGCGTCGTCAAGAAAAGGAACTGGGCTTGCAAAGATGGCACACAAAGAGATGTTGGCCAGTAGCCGGGACCAACGATGGCACGAGCGAGAAATGGCAAATAACAGCGAACATCGGTACAATAAAATACAACCACAGGGTCCAAAGTGTCAACACAAACGATGCAAGCAATCTGACATATAGAGGGTGCTTCAAAATTTTTTTAACGCTTCTGAGAATTTGCAACAATACGAAAAATGTGCTGCCTCCGGGCTCTGGAGACCACCTGGAGAAGATTCCAGGCAACGCGTTGACAACGATGACGAAACAAGTGGAGACTCTGACTTTTTAAAGCGATTAACATACATTTGTTATCATGTTACAGTGTATTATCCGTTCCTTTTCCACTAAAAACGATAGTCCCATCTAAGTGTTAACATTCTTTTGAAGCACCCTGCACATAAAAAGGTAGTGTTAATCTTCTTGGTTCTTTCGGTAAAGTCACGTAGAAGGGAAGTAATAAAATAATAAAATAAAACATAATAATTTATTATGTTTTATTTTATTATTTTATTACTTCCCTTCTACGTGACTTTACCGAAAGAACCAAGAAGATGAATCCCTGCAGTCACGAAAGCTTTAAATCAAAAGGTAGTGTTAATGTTTCATACAACAATCTTAGCCTGCTCGCTGTGTGCCGAGCTCTCTACGGATAGCCCTGTGTGTATGTGTGCGCGCGCGCCGTTAGCTGTGCCGTGCATTGCCGGTGCCGTGCGCTCTATAACCGCATGTGCTGTGGGTGGTGGTGTGCCGGCAGCGTTTGTGGGCGCGCTGGCCATGGGCATGCTCTTCCTGTGCGCGCCGGTCGTGAGTTTGTTCACCGGCCGCTTCGGCTGCCGCATCACGGCCGTGGGTGGGGCCACCGTGGCCTTCGCTGGGCTCCTGTGCAGCTCCTTTGTGAAGTGAGTTCACGCGCATCGCCCCCGTCCGTCCGTGCGCTTCACGCTCGCACGTGCCTACAGCCTGCTTGCCTCAATGTGCTTTCATGTAAGGCTGCTTTCCCGGGTCCGTATGTCTGACGTGTCTGGATTTCATTTTTCTTTCTCGATAGTGGGAAGCCCCTTGCAATTGAATGGCTCTGCCTCCACACTCACCCCTCTCCAATAGCACATGCCTGTTTTGTTGTATTGTAATAATACTCTTGGAGGCGGCTTGTGGAATCGGTCCTTTTATTTACTTATCTCAGTTCACAAGCACTCCCCGTTGCTGGCAGGCAACGGGAAGTGGGCAGACGGATCGCAAGAGACGCACCGCCACGTGGCACTCGGAGCCCCGCTCGCGCCTGGCCCCCTCTCTCTCTCTCTTCGTTCCTCCTCTGACCACGTGTCCCTCATCTCTCCCCTTATTTAATGCCTGGGTCACGTGGTACGCTCCAGCCAATCCTTAATAGCCTGCGCTGAATGTTCCAGATTCCCCATCAACTCCCGGGACCACGCCCCTGACTTGTCTTCCCATTGGCTGAAGCCAAGACCAGCAGAACCAATCACCCTAGCTGACATCCCTCGATCACGCCAGGGCCATGCTCCCAGGCTCTCCCCCCATTGGCTGTAGAGCAGGACCGGCAGAGCCAATCACCACGTGAGCCGGACATCGGCTCTCATTACAGTATTATCAAAAGGGGGATCGGATCACGCATCAGGTTTATTGTAGGTGCTGGAGCGGATAAGCACCACAGGGGCCAAAGAGCCACGTGATTGAGTCAAAGATCAACAAGAGTTCCGTATTATTAGCATCGTTCACGTAAACTACGCAGGCTTTCTAAAACGACCTTGGCAGATGTAGCCCGACTCTAAAGACTTCTTACCCGGCGGTGCGGTGGTTGCTGTTTGTAGACATCTGTGAGATGTGCTTAAAGATTGTGGCTTTCTGTGGTCACGGCCTGCAGACAGCTGGACCTGCTGTACCTCACCTACGGGGTGGTGTTCGCCGTTGGTGCCGCCTTCGCCTTCCAGCCCTCGCTCGTCATCCTGGGCCACTACTTCAAGCGCCGGCTGGGGCTGGTGAACGGCATAGTAATGGCGGGCAGCAGCCTGTTCACCGTGGCGCTGTCCTACATCATGAAGCACATGCTGGCCTCGCTTGGGCTGGTGCTCACTCTGCAGGCGCTCGCTGCGCTCATGCTGCCGCTCATCGTTGCGGGTTTCGCCTACCGGCACGACCCCCACCCCCCCACCCCCCACCCCCCCCCCCCCCCCCGCCCTTCCACGTTGCCGCGTGCGTCTCCTCGTGCTTTGTACCCCAACGGGGGGCCCAAATGATTCCGGTCGCCACCGTCCAGCCCACAGTTCGGTGGGGACTGTCGCGATTCAAGAATCGATTTGTGTTCAGTGTTATCGTAGGGGCCTGTTTACAAATCCATGTTCGGCTCATGACCAGGTGGTTCATCACTCTACCGGTAATTACCTGGCAGAAGAATCTGAAGGTTAAAGTTCAACAAACCGGCGGGACTCTCTTCCCACTTTCAGGAAATATGTTCACGAAAATTGCAAATATTTTTGCTTAAAGTGCTGTGTTTGAACAGTTGCTGCTGTGCGCTATGATGTTGACTGACGTACTTAGAGTGGTCATGGCGCAATGGTCAGCGCACTGGAATTTCAATCCAGAGGTCGCAGATTTGATTCCGTCTCTGCAAGGAAGTCGAAACAATGGGGCAAGCGTCTTACAACCACCCCCCTGTCCCCACCCATCGGTGTACCAGCAGAAACCACGTTGGATCAGTTTAACACGTAGGCTTTCGCGACCGATATTATCCACGATAGAGGTTCAATCGGCAGGTCGCACGTGGTGGCGTAGAGAGCGGGTCCTCCCACCACCTCCAAATACAACCGCTGGTCGGGGAAGAGTAGACCAAATATCCGCTCGAGCTCGCATGAGTAGAGGCCGTTCCGCCGGCATGGGCCTGAGCACATGGTTGGTTATGTACGGTGCGAAAGAAGTTATACATACATACAGCTGCAGTTGCAGGGCTGCACTTTTAACTGTTAAAAATAATGCATTTAGTAGCTGCAGAGAGCATAAAGAAATCGAATATATACAACGTATATAAATCTAACACATTCCTGCGGAGGGAGCTGGTAGGAACGTTGGGTTGCTCGGTCAATGGCCAGGGTCAACGGCGGCGTGATGTATTCCGCAAATATGGCCGACTGTGAGGGACGGGCACAAGCCGGCGTGAGTAGGTTAAACGTTGAGTTTTATATGGGCACCACGGGGTGACCAGCCCCTCCCCACCCAGCCCCACCCCTCCCACCCCCCACCCAGCCCCACCCTCTCCACCCAGCCCCTCCCCACCCAGCCCCTCCCTGCACGACGGACGGACACAATAATCCCCTGTGGGCTGGTGTAACCAGGAGGTTCCTACCAGTAAAATGTTCACTTCTTGCACATACAATTCAGTGACTGCGTCGTGAGTTTAAGTGTGACACTGCTGCTCTGTGGGTCTCTCGTAAACAGTCTGTTTTTCGAGAGGATTACTGCACCACCACAAGCAATAATGTGTCAAATGTCCTCTTCAGTAAACTGGATAAAGGCCACTACTTTGCTGTGCACTATTCCTCGACTTGTCAAAAGCCTCTAATACTGTAGATCATGATAGTCTTCTTAAAACACTTGGTCAACTAACATTTTCAGAAGGTACGTAAAACTGGTTTATGAGTAACCTAGCAATTCGGCTGACATTTATGCACTTATGCAATTTGTACTTCTTTACTTTATATTTAGTTACTTATTTTGATTGACTTGATTTCCTTTTTCCTATCATGCACGTGTGTTTGCATGTTGTAAATCTCTGACGACCCCCGCGTCCGCTGGACATCTGTGGAAAAAAATACTTTCATAACCGCCATCGGATGCCCTCCCAGGAATGAAACGAACAAAGATTCTGACGACACATTTCACTGCTGTGATCTCTCTGTGCACTTGCTCACCAGCTGTGATCTCCCCCCCCGCCCCCCCTCTCTGTTCAGGCCCCTGATGCCCAGGCTCCATGTGGAAGGGGCTCGGACCAATGCTGCCCCCTCTGGCTGTGGCCGCTGCCCTCCTTTGAGAATAAAGACGTTCTGCGTCTGGGTGTCCGGGGTCCCCATTGCTCTCTTCGGATATTTTGTGCCGTACGTCCATCTCGTGAGTTCTTGGGGATTTGTCTCCCGGTTTCTTGTTTTGTTTGCTTGCCCGACGAGTAATTGATAACCTTCGATTGAAAGCTTTCGTGACTGCAGGGATTCATCTTCTTGGTTCTTTCGGTAAAGTCACGTAGAAGGGAAATAATAAAATAATAAAAATTAAACATAATCATTCTCACGACGTTTCGGCCACAACAAGACGCTGTCTTTCCGACAGACCTGTTCTTCACCTGAGGGCGGCTGCTTGCGTTGTGGCCGAAACATCGTGAGAATTATTTTATTATGTTTTATTTTTATTATTTTATTATTTCCCTTCTACGTGACTTTACGGAAAGAACCAAGAAGATATATTAATGTTATAACACTAATAATAACATTAATGGTGAATAAAGTTATCGTTACAAATGAATATACTTACCAGTGCCACAGACCGGCTGAATTGCACGGAGTGATGATGTCATGGCAGCAGGCGTGTTGCTTGGGGGGGTTATCTTCCTGGCTTCTGATTGGTTGTTGCAGTGTGAGTGGCGACGTCATCCCTAGCAACCACTGCCGCTCCCATCGTCGTGCGATCTCACTGAGATCCCATATTTCCTTTGAATTATTACACGTTTCTTCCGGAAGGCATTGCGGATCTTACCGCAATCGCTTCCTGCTGGACACATTTTTGCGGGCACCTTCTAGGCACTTTAAGATGTTTTTTTGTTCATTTTTTTGTTTGTTGTGGTTGCACCCGATTCAAGAGCCGAATGGCTCACAGGGCAAAACCAAATAAATGAAACTTGAAACTTGTACTCGGGATCCCCTGTTCTGCATTGCCGAGGATTCACGTGGCGTGCCGTGGGGCGTGCCGCGTGACAGTCCGTGCGCCGTGCCGTACCGGCGAGTGCAGATGAACTACGTGAAGGAAAACCTGGATGCGGAGGCTGCGCAGCACGATTACGTGCTCATCATCTGCATCGCTGTATCTTCTGGGCTGGGCCGCCTCGGCTTCGGTTGGCTGGCGGACATCATCCCCGGGGTCAAGAAGGTCTACTTGCAGGTGCCGCGCGCTGCCAGCCATCTCCACGTCGTGACCGTGCCTTCGCGCGTACGCGACCTCTCGCTTGCACTGCGAGCCAGCGGAGGGATCGTATTGTGGCGGTGATGCGACGGTGTCGTTTAAGGGTGCCGGTGAGGAATCTGGCGCCGCGCATTGCCGGGCACGCCCCGCGGAGCCGTGCGCGCGCGTGCGCTCACGTGACCTGAACGCGTGTCCGGGCCGCGCAGATCGTCGCTTTCCTGGCGGTGGGCCTCATGTCGGCGCTCATCCCCATGTGCTCCTCGCTGGGTTCCCTGGTGGCGGTGTGCATCGTCATGGGGCTGTTTGACGGCTGCATCACGTCGCTCATGGCCCCCATCTGCTTCGAGCTCGTGGGACCGCACCACGCCTCGCAGGCCATCGGCATCGTGCTGGGCCTCATGTCTGTGCCTATGACCGTTGGGCCTACGGTGGCAGGTGAGGTATGCAGGGTGTGTGCTCACGTGTGCTTGCGTGTGGTAGAGTAGTGGTTAGCTCACAAACACAATGGCCAGACATTTACATCATTGGAACCTCATTTGCCAGTAAAAAATATGATAATTGTTTTGTTTACCCTTTTATCTGGCAACAAAACTGACACCTTTTTTACAAGGAGTCATGTGTGCATTGACCACAATACCTGCAGTCATGCGTGCGCCATTTGGCGTTATCTGGTCCAACACCATGTGAGACTAGGCTCTAAGGAAAGCTGTTTCGGGTGTGGACCAATCAACTTCAAGGACAGTGCATACATTATCAGAGTTATGTTTTTTGTTTGCATTATGACTGCAGGTATTGTGGTCTATGCAAACATGACTCCTTGTAAAAAAGGTGTCAGTTTTTTTGCCAGATAAAAGGGTAAAAAAACAATTATCACAATGACCAGAGTTTGATTCCCGCTCTGGAGAATATTGGAACTGTTCCTGGGCCTCCCTGAGGTTGACTCAACCGTAAATGAGTACCTGGTGTGGTGTGTAAACTTCAGCACTTGGGAGATGAAGGCGGCCGGGCGTGGTGTTGGCCACTCACCCTCGTGTGTGCTGTGCCGGCCTTCATAGATGCTGCTAAAAGCACTTGCCCCATCAGTCTGTTAAAAGCTCCATGGAGGGGATCTCCGTATTTGTGCGCTTGCATGGACAGCAGTGAAATCTTAATTTGATCTTGATCTTAATTTGATTGCTGATGATGGCGAACATCAGTAGCAAATATCTGATTTGGTTCTGGGCCTCCCTTAGATCGACTTGGCTTGAGCATTTTTGTGCGGGATGTAAAATGGGCGTGCTACTGGCCACACTATCCCTCGTTGTGCCTCGTTGCGCCTTGCTGGCATCAATGGATGGTTGCTAACAGCACTTGCCCTGACAATCTGTTAAAGGCTGCACGGAGGATTGTTGTCGTTGTGCTTATATGAGTATAAATGCGAGTGAGTGAACGAGCAAGAGCGTGTGGGGTTTGCGAGTGGAGAGTGAGTTGGGGCGGCGAGGGTTCCGTAACTAGACCTTGCTTGTCTCTAGGTCTCCTCCGGGACTTGACGGGCTCCTACGACATCCCCTTCTACCTGGCGGGCGTGCCGCCGCTAGTCGGCAGCGGCGTGCTCTGTTTTGTGCCGTACGTGGCCGTGCGTGCGCCCAAGGAGGAGCAACAGGGCCCCGAGGTGGGGGGGGCGCGGGGGACTCCGCTGACTCCCGGCGGCAGCGGGCGACACGGCGGGGTCAAGGGGGCAGCTCCTGCTCAGATCTCCGGCCGAGGACAACGCTCCGCTGCCCGCCGGCCCGTGAAGTCAATCCGAGCTCTGTTAAGAAAGCAGCGCGAAATGTCATCGTCGGTAAAAGGAAGCGTTTTCATTTTTTCGTCGTGGAGTTAAACGTTTCCGCGTAGAACACTAACCGTTTGACCTCTATTTAATGTTCATCCCACATTTTTTTGTTTTGGAATCATCTTGTACGGCCTAAAAATTTCACGGTGTTTCTTGACATCTCGACATCCCAAATACCTGCGGGCCCATGCTGTGGGTATTCTGTCGAGTTGTTCAGTGCAGGAGCTCGCGATGTTTTTAGATGAGCCGATGTCTGTGGGATCGTCGCTTCGAGTCCAGGCTGATCGCAAAGAGTGCCGGGCGCAAGTAGCATGGTGCGCACAACTGCGCGTGGCGTTCCCCTCGCGATGATGTGACACTACGTCGCTCCGGGCCCCAGTTGGCTCACAGCGCGACGCTGATTTTTTTTGTTGTTTTTAAAGCATGACATTTTTAGACGCACTGTGAGCTTTTAAAGCCCTTTTTGTATTTTTTAATGGATTGCATTTTTGTAGTAGATTCAGCTGTAGGTAGGTTTGGTTTACAAGTCTCTACACCGGTGACGGTAGTGTAGAGCTTCGCGTATACTTTAGGTTCGTCCGCACAGTGTTATACTTAGTTGCCGGAAATCCTCAATCGAGCTGCAGACTCTACTAGGGTCCAGCTCCTCCTTGCTCAGTTGATGCAGGGCCAACTCATCAATAAGATGACCGCTGTGATTTCCTATCAAGTGGTACTGTGTACACGTTATCGACCTACGGAGGGGATGATAGGGCGAGTTGACCCTTGACTGTGATTTGAACTCAACACCTCATGATTGCGAGGTATGCGCTGTTAACCGAGCGTGAGGGATTGGCCGTTATGAATTGATCGCCTTGATTCCTGCCGAGTTATGCTTGCAGTATTCCCTCATCATTTGCCAGGGATACGTTCCGACGATGCTTGTGAATCTCACATTTTTTTGTGAGTTACCTTATCAATGAGCAAATAAAGACGTTAAATTATCATAATCAAAAAAACATTGGTAATTAAAAAGAAATATCAAATATTATAAATAGATGTGAAAGCAACTCATCGCTTGATCTCTCATCACATTATCTTTTCACTACATCTCTTCACTTCACCGCATCACATTCTCTCTCATCACTTTTTCTCCCTCTCTATCGCTCGATGGTGTCCGTGCAGAGTTTCAGATGCGATTCGTGGATAGCCAAAATCGCGGATAGCTCGTTCGTGAATAACGAGGGAATACTTTACAAGCGGCAAAGTGGGGGGGGGGGGGGGGGGTCTCATGCCCCCCCCCCTTCCCCTCTCAATAGTTTCCTACCTCAAAGCACTTCTGAGTTAGCTTACAAAGCACCTGGACTCGCTTGCCTCTCACGTTGCACTCAACTCTGCAAGTTGCCCGGTGCGTGCCTCAACAAAGTAGCCACGATGCTCCGTCAAACCGTGTTAAGCGCTTGAGTAGATGTTTTTGTATCGGTATAAATTGCTGTTAAAAATTGAGAATGAGTCAATTTGATACGTTCAAATAACAATACTTATTTTATTACATTACGTTTTATTTGTTTACCCATGGGCGATATGCCGCTGTTTCCTAATTGTGTAATTTGCAAATAAGTTTTTGGTTTTACTTGCCAAATCTTGACCATGATGCCATTGCGCCATAGCCTATTCTTCTTTTGAATGATGTCACGGGATCTTTAACTTACACTGGTTAATACATCCTGTTAAGCCACATGACATCGATAACTGTACAACCATTCAGTTCCATCGTGAATATCCTCAACCTCTGTTCTGTTTTCTTTTCGTTTCAATGATTTTCCATCGGGGAGCTGTGGGTTGAGGAGTGTATCTGTTCTTGTGCCTCGACTCGTTTCTACGACCATCACAAAACCGTGATCTCTCTGTGCCATGCATACACGCACACACGAGAAGCAGCTATAAATGGGCTGGTCTGCGCAGCAACCGATACAGGGTTCTTACACAGAGCTTTCAGTCTGGTCCATGGACTTGTGTACACGCTTTCTACCGCTGTGGACAAGATGTGAAAGATTTTGATGTAAAGCTTTCGTGATTGCAGGGATTCATCTTCTTGGTTCTTTGGGTAAAGTCACGTAGAAGGGAAATAATAAAAATACAATTAAATAAACATAATAAAATAATACAAATAAAACATAATAAACATAATAAAATACAATGTATTAAATAATGTTTTATTTTTATTATTTTATTATTTCCTGTCTACATGACTTTACCGAAAGAACCAAGAAGAAGGTGTGATAGGCCACCAATCGTACGTGGCGTGTACCTTATTAAGCACGGTTCCTCCATCTCTCAACACTGCTGCCATCACTGCCACTCTGAAAGACCCCCAACATAACCTTGTATTCATCATCAAGCCCCTTGGGAGAATCTAATGCTGGTCAAAGGCTTCTCCGTACCCCTCTTCACAGCCTACACCACCCAGTCCACCCCCGTGTCACTTCTGTCTCCCCTCGAGTGCCGTCGAACTACGCGCGTGGCTGGTAATTATTCCCTGACTGCTGCTGCTGTTTCTGTGCATCTCTATACAAGTGTCTTCTCAGAAACCTGTCTGTGCTATTGTTCCACGAGGTTGCCATTGGATTTTCTCAATGTGTCCGTCGATCCACTTGGAAACAACCATCCCTGGTTCAACACTGCCCAGCGTTGCCATGGTACTGATACCCAGTTATGGCGTTCGCCAACCCCCCCAGACCACGCTGTCGTATCCTGATGTAGTCTCTCGCCTTGGACTGGTTTGTGCTTTTTCCAGCTCAATATCCCCAAAAGTGGAAATATCTTATGCAACAAGTCTCTACTTGGTGAAACATGGAATTCAAGCCAAAAACGCAAGCCTTAAACTTCGTAAATAAATGTAAAGCAGATTGATTGTAAACGGATTACGTTTTTGTTACGGTAACTGTTCTTCCGTGCAATTCAGAATGAAATACGAAAATTGAATGAAATCACGGCGTCGTATGCCTGTGTATATGGCGTGAAAAAAAAAAACAGTTTACCGTTCATGCTCGACATTTGTCCACATGCTTGTAAAGCTAATCATTCAAAATCCTTATTCTTTTGTTCTTTCGGTAAAGTCACGTAGGTATAAAATCAAATAAAGCACGACGTTTCGATCGCAACACAAACGGTCGTCCTGTTGCGATCGAAACGTGATTTGTTTTATTTTATACCTACGTGACTTTACCGAAAGAACCAAAGAGTATGGATTCCTGCAGTCACGAAAGCTTCAAATCAAGATTAAAAATCCTACAAAAACGTAAATGAAGGAAAGAAAACAGGGAACATTCTTGCCAGTCAATTATTTTTTTACACTCGCAAAGATTTAGCACGAATTGGTACTACCACCTAAGCTAGCAAAGCTTTTAATGGCACCAATGTGTTTATCTAAGAGAGTTTTTTTTCTCCCCCCTCTTCAAATAGCCCACTCGCTTGAAATGGTTGTATAACGTAGCTCACGAGTATGAGCGACGTAAATAAATTGGAAACATCTTCTTGGTTCTTTTGGTAAAGTCGCGTGCATTTACCGAAAGAACCAAGAAGATGAATCCCTGCAGTCACGAAAGCTTTAAATCGAAAAATTGGAACCTCTCAAAGCGATTTCCACCACGGGTGGTAACGACACGTGAGGTGTCTGGCCTCGTGGACGTCTGCATAGCTGGCTGTGTTCAGGCTGTTGCTCGCTTGGCCGCATTTTTCCCACGTGCTTAACGTTACCTCCAACCCCCTCCTTGTCATGTGCACGCAGCGAATCGTTACACTTGAGCTGTGGGTGTTTACGTGAAGATGTTCTTAAAGGAGCTCGTTTATAACCTCTTGTACTTTTGCTAGAAATGTGAAAATCCTTTGACAATAAATTTCATTTGAAACCCACCGAAGTTCTCGGCTTGTTGAATATAATGCCACACGTTGGGCAGTGCCGGATTAAGATAGTGCGGGGCCTGTAGCTTATGTTATAAAGGGGCCCTAAAATGTTTAATATTAAAGCACCATTTTTTTACTTGCACGATAAAGTTATTGTACTTTTTAAATCCTTTATATTAAGTTCGCTTGCTTGCTTGCTTACGACCGTGCAAATCTTGCAGTCGTTTTTTAACCCACTTCCTGTGATCCAATGGAGCTGACATTTTCCACACAGACTCGTTGTGCGTGACAATTTATTTTCGTGAAAATTTTTTCCCAAAATTTTACACTTTTTAGGACAAAAAATATATTTAATTACCAATTGCTTAATGGTGCAATGCAATCTGACCCATAGGTGGCAGACATCTCAAGCCAGAGGACGAGAGGGCTCTAGCCGCCACGCATATAAAGGATTTATAGTGAAAAACTTTGTTTTTACGGGTTATGCTTGTTTCATTTGCTATACAGCCAGATAATACGACAAATCGCTAACCTTAAACACCCAATCGTTCATAAAAGTTGAAGGCAGTATAGTACTATAGTAATAGAGCAAGTGCAGAATCACTGAACCTGGAATCGATAGCTTGAAAGCGTTTAGCGCGGGGCCCCTGAAAGTGCGGGGTTTGTAGCGTATGCAGCCACTTTCGCGACTCGGATCATCCGGCACTAACGTTGGGCCCTAAGTACCCCGAATTAGCTGATTTCACATCGTGATAGACGGTGAGCCACGGGCTAAAGCGGGTTCCGTGAGTGACCACGGAGACGAGGGTAGAAGGCGACACGAGACGGCAAGACGGTCGTGCGCGTGTGTTTCAAGTTCAAGTTCAAGTTCATTATTAGTTTTTTTCGGTAAAGTCACGTAGGTAAAAAAACTCCACCTTCTCCAACCATTATATAAACGGAGTGGTAGCTTCTGCAATCTCTCATTTACTTGATACAGCTGTCGTGGCTGTGACGGTACCACCTGAAGACGGAAGCTTGTGTTGCCTCCGAAACGTCGTGATTTTTATTTTATTTTACTTTTTAATGTTTTTTACCTACGTGACTTTACCGAAAAAACCTAAGAATATGAATCATTGCAGTCACGAAAGCTTCAAATCTAGAATTCATTTATTAGGTATAGCCCTGTGAGCCATTCGGCTCTTGAATCGGGTGCAACCGCAACAAACAAAAAAACAAAAACATGAACAAGAAAACATCTTAAAGTAAATATGTGACTATGTGCAAACAGAAAATCCAAGAAAAGACAGCAAAATATTGCAGAAAAAACACCGTACACCAACACTGTGCAAAAATCCCAGTGGGATGCAAGTCAAACAACAACAACCACAAGACAACTTAGATTAAGGCCATCAGTCTTACTCCGTACTACAACAAACAAACATGGTCAAACCAGTAAACTTTTCGAAATCACCAAAATAAAGCCACGAAAGCCATGAAAGCCATGAAACAGTGTGAATGCGTCTGTCCGAGACCCACAACGTCGCAACCTCCTGACTTTGGACGTTCACTCCACGAAGACGCGGGCGGTAACCACGAACCGAACCAGAAAGCCAACGGGCCGCAGATGCGCACGTCCCCCCCATGCGTTGATGGGCAATAAGACGAGATAGAGGAGTGCAACTGGGGCCACGCAACCCAAACTATGGGCCGTCCATAAATGACGTCACGCACCTGGGGGGGGGGGGTAGGGTCAGACATTTGTGACGATGTGTGACGAGGGGGGGGGGGTTGAGAAATGTAGCGTCACATCACAATGCGCAACTTTAAATAAATATAGACAACACGTTCTACTTAATTAAATAGACTTTTTAATAAATATTTTCTCCTACAACATTAGAGTGCAGCGCCACATTAAATACGCACTACAATGACAATAGTTTAAAGCGATTTGAAGCATGTTTTTTTTGGGGGGGGGGGGGGGCACAGCCTTGTGACGTCATATTTGAGAGGGGGGGCTTCTGACTTGTTGTGACGCCGTGTGACGAGGGGGGGGGGGTCTAAAATCGTCCAAAATCGCGTGACGTCATTTATGGACGACCCCTAAGGTCTGAATTGGTCTCTAATAAAGTAGGCGCTGATAAGGGGTTGACAGGTATGTTAATGTATTAATATACATTGCAATGGATATCCATTACCAGTCACCCTTCGACACTTCACGTGGCCTCAAAGTGCACCTAGCCTGGCACAAGCGCCGCGGTGTTGTAAGCACGTGTCAGGATATTCCCCCTCCCCCCCCACCGTCCCCACGTGGTGTTGTAAGCACGTGGTGTTGGTCACGTGGTGTTGTAAGCACGTGGTGTTGGTCACGTGTGGTGACATCACGCTCAACAGGAAGTGTGGGTCTGGCAGCTCAGCGTCGGCTTGCGCGCCGCCGGTGAGGAGGGGGTGAGGAGGGTGAGGGGGGTGAGGGGGTGAGGGGGTGGGGGTGAGGGGGGTGAGGGTGAGGGGGGTGAGGGTGAGGGGGGTGAGGGTGAGGGGGGTGAGGGGGGTGAGGGTGAGGGGGGTGAGGGGGGTGAGGGTGAGGGGGGTGAGGGTGAGGGGGGTGAGGGTGAGGGGGGTGGTGAGGGTGAGGGGGGTGGGGGTGAGGGGGGTGAGGGGTGAGGGGGTGGGGTGAGGGGGTGGGGGTGAGGGGGGTGAGGGGTGAGGGGGGTGAGGGTGAGGGGGAGGGTGAGGAGGGGGTGAGGGGGGTGAGGGGGGGTGGGGGGGGTGAGGGGGTGAGGGTGAGGGGGGTGAGGGTGAGGGGGTGAGGGTGAGGGGGTGTGAGGGTGAGGGGGGTGAGGGTGAGGGGGGTGAGGGGGTGAGGGGGTGGGGGTGAGGGGGGTGAGGGTGAGGGGGGTGGGGGTGAGGGTGATGGGGGTGAGGGGGTGAGGGTGAGGGGTGGGGTGAGGGGGGTGAGGGTGAGGGGGGTGAGGGGTGAGGGGGTGAGGGTGAGGGGGTGAGGGTGAGGGGGGTGAGGGTGAGGGGGTGAGGGGGGTGAGGGGTGAGGGGGTGAGGGTGAGGGGTGAGGGGGTGGGGGAGGGGGGTGAGGGTGAGGGGGGTGAGGGTGAGGGGGGTGAGGGTGAGGGGGTGAGGGTGAGGGGGGTGAGGGTGAGGGGGGGTGAGGGTGAGGGGGGTGGGGGTGAGGGGGGGGTGAGGGGTGAGGGGAGGGGGTGAGGGTGAGGGGGAGGGTGAGGGGGGGTGAGGGGTGGGGGTGAGGGGGTGGAGGGTGAGGGGGTGAGGGTGATGGGGTGAGGGTGAGGGGGGGGTGAGGAGGGGTGAGGGGGTGAGGGGGTGAGGGTGAGGGGGGTGAGGGTGAGGGGGGGTGAGGGTGAGGGGGGGTGAGGGGGGGGGTGAGGGGGTGAGGTGAGGGGGGTGAGGGTGAGGGGGGGTGAGGGGGGGTGAGGGTGAGGGGGGGGAGTGAGGAGGGGTGAGGGGGGTGAGGGGGGTGAGGGTGAGGGGGGGAGTGAGGAGGGGTGTGAGGGGGGGTGAGGGGGGTGCACGGGTCGAGGGGGTGAGGTGGTGAGGGTGGTGAGGGTGGTGAGGGTGGTGAGGGTGAGGGGGGTGAGGGTGGAGGGGGGGGGGTGAGGAGGGGGTGAGGGGTAGGGGGTGAGGGTGGTGAGGGGGTTAGGGGGGTGAGGGGTGAGGGGGGGTGAGGAGGGGGGTGAGGGGTGAGGGGGAGGTGAGGAGGGGTGAGGGGGTGAGGGGTGGGGGGTGAGGAGGGTGAAGGGGGTGGAGGGGTGAGGGGTGCAGGTTGAGGAGGGTGAGGGGTGGTGAGAGGGGGTGAGGGAGGGTGAGGAGGGGTGAAGGGGGGGTAGGGGTAGGGGGAGGGGGGATCGGGGGGTGAGGGGGAGGGGGGTGAGAGGGGTGAGGGTGAGGGGGTGAGGGATGGGGGGTGAGAGGGGGTGGAAGGGGGGTCGGGGTGAGGAGGGTGTAGGATGGGGGTGAGGGGAGGGGGGGGTGAGGAGGGGGTGAGGGTGAGGGTGAGGGGTGAGGGGGTGAGGTGAGGGGGGTGAGGAGGGTGAGGGGGGTGAGGAGGGTGAGGAGGGGGGTGAGGAGGGGGGTGAGGGGGGTGAGGGGGGTGAGGGTGAGGGGGGTGAGGGGGGTGAGGGTGAGGGGGGTGAGAGTGTGAAGGGGGTGAGGAGGGTGAGGATGGGGGTGAGGGGGGTGAGGAGGGGGGTGAGGGGGGGGGTGAGGGGGGGGGTGAGGGGGTGAGGGTGTGAAGGGGGTGAGGAGGGTGAGGAGGGCGGTGAGGGTGAAGATTATTCTGGTGAGGCGAATCAAACTGCTACCGAACACTGCTGCTGCATTGTCTGATGTTGCTGTCAAATGCCGTTGACCAATGAGTAGTAGTGATGTGATAGTGCGTTGACAGACATCGCCTTACAATAACAATCATTATACTACTACTAATAACAATCATGGTTATCGGTGACAGATACTCGGGGCCAGCACGGCTCTCTTGTTTAGTGACCCGTGCCAGCACGGCTCTCTTGGTTAGTGACCCGTGCCAGCACGGCTCTCTTGTTTAGTGTCCCAGGCCAGCACGGGTCTCTCTTGTTTAGTGACCTGTGCCAGCACGGCTCTCTTGGTTAGTGACCTGTGCCAGCACGGCTCTCTTGGTTAGTGACCCGTGCCAGCACGGCTCTCTTGTTTAGTGACCCAGGCCAGCACGGGTCTCTCTTGTTTAGTGACCTGTGCCAGCACGGCTCTCTTGTTTAGTGACCCGTGCCAGCACGGCTCTCTTGGTTAGTGACCCGTGCCAGCACGGCTCTCTTGTTTAGTGTCCCAGGCCAGCACGGGTCTCTCTTGTTTAGTGACCTGTGCCAGCACGGCTCTCTTGTTTAGTGACCTGTGCCAGCACGGCTCTCTTGGTTAGTGACCCGTGCCAGCACGGCTCTCTTGTTTAGTGACCCAGGCCAGCACGGGTCTCTCTTGTTTAGTGACCTGTGCCAGCACGGCTCTCTTGTTTAGTGACCTGTGCCAGCACGGCTCTCTTGGTTAGTGACCCGTGCCAGCACGGCTCTCTTGTTTAGTGACCCAGGCCAGCACGGGTCTCTCTTGTTTAGTGACCTGTGCCAGCACGGCTCTCTTGGTTAGTGACCCGTGCCAGCACGGCTCTCTTGTTTAGTGACCTGTGCCAGCACGGCTCTCTTGTTTAGTGACCCGTGCCAGCATGGCTCTCTTGTTTAGTGACCCGAGCCAGCACGGCTCCCAGCGGTCACGGAAACACCGGCTGAATACGCCTCGAGTGCTCGGTGAAAGCGACGAAGGCAACGTTCTTTCCACCCCAGCAGCAGCAGCAGAGAGTTCGTTGTGGGCTGATGCCGCCACTTTGTCTGTCTCTCCAGGTGGCGTCATGGCAGACGCCTGTCCGATCATCAGCTCGGTGCAGAAGCTGGTGCTGTACGAAACTCGCGCGGTGAGCGGTGGACCACGTCCCGTCATCATCGGCCTTGTGTTGTCTCGCGACGTGCAGTAGGGGGCCGTCCATAAATGACGTCACGCACCTGGGGGGGGGGGTCAGACATTTGTGACCATGTGTGACGAGGAAGGGGGGCGTTTGAGAAATGTGACGTCACATCAAAATGCGCAACTTTAAATGAAAACGGACAACACGTTCTACTTAATTAAATATACTTTGTAATAAATGTTTTCTTCTACAACATCAGAGTGCAGCGGCACATTAAATACACACTATAATGACAATAGTTTAAAGCGATTTGAAGCATGTTTTATTTTTTGGGGAGGTGGGCAGAGCTTTGTGACGTCATATTTGAGGGGGGGGGTCTGACTTTTTGTGATGCCGTGTGACGAGGGGGGGTGTGTCAAGAATCGTCCAAAATCGCGTGACGTCATTTATGGACGGCCCCTAGACTCGAAGAGACACACACACACACACACTAGGTTCCAATGCCAACTCCACTAGGTGCAGATCAAATGTCGGACTGAGTATAACAAGATCGCTGTGACTGTCTTCAGAGTTCTTCGTGGGCTGGTGCCTGAGTTAATTACTCCACACGTCAACTCTTCACACAAAGACAAAGATCCCACATATAGCCTTGGCAAACTGTTGGGGCAAGTGCTGATTGCGATCGCCTATGAAGGGCGGCACGGCACACGAGGGGGTGGGTGGTCAGCACCACGCCCGCCCGCCTTTGTCTCCCACGTGGCGATGTTTACACACCGCATCAGGTACTCACTGAGTCGATCTAGGGGAGGCCCGTGACCGGTTCAGATAATCGTCACTGGTGTTGGCCTTGAGCGGGAATTGAACTCGGCTCGCTGGGTTCGTAGCAGGGGCGGTTTCTTCATTAGGGCGATTGGGCGACGCACCACCAATGTCATTCAACCACAGAGTCACGCTAGCCGTCACTGCAGCCTCTGGATATAGTCCAATCAGCGTCATGTCACGTTCTGTGGAGTACCGCCTCTTTTTGGGCGATTTCACTCCGGCTGAGAATCGCCCCGAGTGGCCCTATAGACTTACATTGAAAGATGTTTTTTTTCGAACGGCGGGCGCTCCAATGCATTCTCTATGGCTTCCGGGAGGGCTCGCCCTAACGTGCTTACGTCATCATACGTGCTAACGTCATCATACGTAAGCACGTTTCATCCAACAATATAATTTATCGCCACCAAGTGGAATCTTTAATAGAATAAACTTGAGTGGTTTGTTTTAATAGTGAGTATAGAAACAAACAAGATGTATTGTAAGAATCACTTTATTTTTCATTAATATTAAAGAAGTGAAGTTGCCTTTACATGCTTAAGCTGTTAATTTATCCATTGCATGGGTGGACCTTATCCTTATCAATCATCCAGACATTTGCCCCCCCTGAGAGATTTTGCAGGAGCCGCCACTGGTTCGTAGTGCAGCGTAGCGCTAACCGCTACACCATTGCTTCCCACTTCGCACAAAGACAAATATCCCCCGTATAGCCTTAACATAATGGTGGGGCAAGTGCTGTTAGCGAGCACCTCTGAAACTATTACCACACACATCACACTTTTCTCCCTGCAAGACCCCCTTTGCTCTGCAAATCTAAATCTCCTGGAAAAGCCTAAACCTTATTTTAATTACTGTATTTTTTAAATGTATAATGCACATATTTGTTTTTCTCTCAAAATCGAAAGTTTATTTAAAAGTTTCTGGAAATGCAGCTGCAAAAGAGATAGTATATAATTGAAGACTGTATTGTATAATTGACAGGTACCTGGCCACGAATTGAACCTGGGAAAGTGCAATTGTAGCACGGGGTATAGCAAGTGCCACGCTTTCCTTTGCACATTCATGCACAAACACACAGACACAATACCGTGTACAGTCGTGCACAGACACGCGGGGGCATTTGAACGTGTGTTAGTAGAACACACAGACTGCAGACTGAGTTTGAGGAAAACAGACGTAGGACATTGAAAACAAAACACGGACACGTGGCAGAATTTGCTGGGCCGGATTAACGTTGCGGCAAGAAACCGATGCTGTCCGAGAGCCGCGTTGGTATGTTGCGTTGACAGGCGCGGTGGGACTCGGTTTGTTTCAGAGGTTCTTCCTCGTGGGCTCCAACGACGCAGGTTCCAAGTTCCGAGTGCTCAAGATTGACCGCACTGAGCCACGTGAGCTGAGCCTCAGTGATGACAAGGTGCCTTTCATGTACTCAGCACGTGTGTTCCCTCCCCGTGCACTGCGTACTTTTCATGTGTGTATCCTCCCTGTGTACTGTGTACTCTGTTGGTGCTAAACAGTTCAGAATATGTGTGTGTTCCCTCCCTGTGTACTGCGTACTCTACACTAATGTTCCCTCCCTGTGTATTATGTACTCTACACGCGTGTTCTCTCCCTGTGTACTATGTACTCTACACGCGTGTTCTCTCCCTGTGTACTATGTACTCTACACGTGTGTTCTCTCCCTGTGTACTATGTACTCTACACGCGTGTTCTCTCCCTGTGTACTATGTACTCTACACGTGTGTTCTCTCCCCGTGTACTGCGTATTCTACACGCGTGTTCACTCTCTGTGTACTGTGTACTCTACACGTGTGTTCTCTCCCTGTGTACTGTGTACTCTACACGTGTTCTCTCCCTGTGTACTGCGTACTCTACACGCGTGTTCCCTCCCCGTGCACTGTGTACTCTACACGTGTTCTCTCCCTGTGTACTGCGTACTCTACACGCGTGTTCTCTCCCTGTGTACTATGTACTCTACACGTGTTCTCTCCCTGTGTACTGCGTACTCTACACGCGTGTTCTCTCCCTGTGTACTATGTACTCTACACGTGTGTTCTCTCCCCGTGTACTGCGTATTCTACACGCGTGTTCTCTCCCTGTGTACTGTGTACTCTACACGTGTGTTCTCTCCCTGTGTACTGTGTACTCTACACGTGTTCTCTCCCTGTGTACTGCGTACTCTACACGCGTGTTCCCTCCCCGTGCACTGTGTACTCTACACGTGTGTTCCCTCCCTGTGTACTGCGTACTCTCCACGTGTTCTCTCCCTGTGTACTGTGTACTCTACACGTGTGGTTCTCTCCCCGTGTGTTGTGTACTCTTCATGTGTTCCCCTCCCCGTGTACTGCGTACCTTACACGTGTGATCCTGCTCCCCGTGTACTGCGTACCTTACACGTGTGATCCCGCTCTCTGTGTATTGCGTACTCTTCATGTGTTCCCCTCCCTGTGTACTGCGTACCCTACACGTGTTGATCCCTCGGTGTGTCCTGCACACCCTGTGACATGTGTTCCCCGCTTGTGTGACTGTGCACACACACGTGACCTATTTGCTTGCTGTATAAATGCTGCCTCCTCACGCGCCGTGCACATGCCAGTGAACGTCGTGCGCATTTTGACCTCCGTCAACCCGCTGAGCGGCAAAATGCATATTGAACGTAATAAAATAATTCTCACGACATTTCGGCCACAACAAAACGCTGTCTTTCCGACAGACCTGTTCTTCACCCGAGGACGGCTGCTTGCGTTGTGGCTGAAGCGTCGTGAGAATAATTGTATTATGTTTAATTTTTATTATTTTATTATTTCCCTTCTACGTGACTTTACCGAAAGAACCAAGAAGATGAATTGATAACCTTTCAAATGAACCCTGGGGCCTGAGTGCAGAGCAGCTTGTGCAGTTGCCAAGGTTAAATAAAGTCAACCGATAATTCGTAATAAATATTAACAAATGTATATTAATGTTTCGATTTAAAGCTTTCGTGACTGCAGGGATTCATCTTCTTGGTTCTTTCGGTAAAGTCACGTAGAAGGGAAGTAATAAAATAATAAAAATGTTTTATAAATAATAAAAATGTTTTATTTTTATTATTTTATTACTTCCCTTCTACGTGACTTTACCGAAAGAACCAAGAAAATGCATATTGTGTCCAGTGTTTTGAGTTTCACATCGGATGCAGTGGCCCCACACGTTCATGTGGATTTGTAATGCTGGCAGCTGTTCGAAAATATCTACGATGCTCACTGTACCACTCCAGCATGTCGCCAGACTTCAATAGACGTGGTCCGTGCTGCGTTCCCATGAACGCACAGAGCCCGGTGGTGGGCCTAGCTCATGACGCAGGCGAGTGAGCTCTGCCTGCATTTTTACATGCCATGTAGCTTGCTGCGTGATCTGCTCAGTGGCTCATTTTGCCAGCGGGGCTGCCTACTAAATGGAGATTGATTCAGATTGTGAAAATGCTAAATTCGTTGCACGCTGTTCAGTTGATTTGCTTATTTATACATTTTCATAATTTTTACAAAAATTTGTTTTATATATACGGGGCACTGTTTTACCCACCCACGTTATTTCGAAGGACACTGACGCTCGCTGTTGCGTGGGATCTTCTTGGTTCTTTCGGTAAAGTCACGTAGAAGAGAAATAATAAAATAATAAAAATAAAGCATAATAAAATAATGTCTTCCCGACAGACCTGTTCTTCACCTGAGGACGGCTGCTTGCATTGTGGCCGAAACGTCGTGAGAATTATTTTATTATGTTTTATTTTTATTATTTTATTATTTCCCTTCTACGTGACTTTACCGAAAGAACCAAGAAGATGAATCCTTGCAGTCACGAAAGCTTTCAATCTAAATGTTGTGTGTGACCTGTGCTTGATGCAGCACGTGTATAGCGAGGCAGAGGTGCGTGATCTGTTGGGCCGCCTCGACCTGGGCAACCGTGCTCGCTCCGGCGCGAGAGGGCCCCTCCTCGGCCTCCCGGGCCTTTCTCGTGCCACAACTGCGCACGGCATCGTCGGTAAGACTCGGCGCTACGGTAGCGAGCATTTACCCGTGTGTGTCTTGCGTCGTTCGCCGTGTTGCTAGCCGAGTTGTAGTTGCGTTGGCGCTCTGCTGTGCGATGTTCAGTGCGTTGTGTTGTGCTGCATCGGTTTGCTGTGTTGGGAGCTGCATTGCGGTGTGTTTCGTTATGCACCGTGTGCCGTGGTGAGTGCTTTACTGGGATCGTGTTCCACAGTTGTGTGCTGCATTGTGCGTTGCCTCCTTAAGGGTTTGTGCGCTTCCTGGAGGGCTACTACATGGTGCTCATTACTAAGCGTCGCAAGGTGGCCGATATCGGGGGCCACAGCATCTACAAGATTGAGGACACCGTGATGACGTACATCCCCCACGAATCTGTGCGCGTCAGCCACCCAGATGAAGCCAGGTACCTTTGGATTCCTCCTTTTTTTATTCAAGCGCCAAACCCCCCCCCCCCCTCTCCCACGTCTATAACCGAGTCGAAAGCTGTCTTTCATTTTTCGATTTAAAGCTTTCGTGACTGCAGGGATTCATATTATTGGTTCTTTCGGTAAAGTCACGTAGAAGGGAAATAATAAAATAATAATAAATTAACCAATTAAATTATCATGACGATTCAATTGCAACACAAGCAATCATCATCAGGTGTGAAACCCACAGCAAGAAATTTTATTTTATTATATCCCTTCTACGTGACTTTACCGAAAGAACCAAGAAGATGAATCTGTAAACTACTACAGGGAAGAAAAACAATTGACACCGGATGTCATTGAATCTATAAGCCTGTGTGGAGCTTTAATGTTTGGTATAATTAAATGTATTACATTAGGAGTGTTACTCTCTGCTTTAAAAAAAATATCAAACACTTGTGGTTTGGCGCCAAGAGCGCTTTCACTGAGCTTATGGAATGTCAGCTGTGCAGTGGGTGAAACTTGTGACGCGTTATTCAATGGGTGTTCTCACACACGACTTCACTTTTCTTGCACACGTGCGGATAATCGGTTTCTCTGAATCGGGTCAAATCACGAGTATAGTTCGGTTTTCACACCATTAAGCGCAAGGCTATCACGTAGGCACTGTGCTTCACGTAGTCTGCAGTAGTTTTGCGGTAGGGGAGAGCGAGGTTACATTTTCACCATGTCGACACACAATGGCCTACTCTTTGAATGACATCGCGGGATCTTTACCAGCCACTGTGAAGCGGACAATGTTTGTTTTATGGTTACTATGCTCGAACTATTAACCAGGGCGGCCCGTGGGATCCTAAACCGCGAACCTCTAACAAACCGCTGAGCCGCGTCACTAAGATCTACCCACCCCAGGTGGCACCATCAAGCAAAGCGTCTGGTCTGGTCTGGTCCCATGGACTCAGTACAGCTGCAGGAAGCATGGTCATGCTCTGAGCAGAGTTTGCGATGCTCAGATTGGGAGTGTTTCATCCAGGAATAGAATCGCTAACATGGTTCTTGCTGTGTTTCAGATATGTGAAGATTTTCCAAAATGTGGACCTCTCAAGCAACTTCTATTTTAGGTAATGCACTTACTTGTATGTAGACAACAAGGACATAGTTTACAAATACAACGGTAAATAAGAGTAACAGATTCTAAATCTTGCTCATGACTTCAGCATTACTGTATTTTATGTCAGGATATGCAGTGCCTTTTTTGACTGTGCACTGCAATGGCTTATTGAGAAAGGCACCCTTTCTTATTGTATTGTTAATTACGGCTGTTTGCCAGTGATATGAAAGCTCCCACAATACCTCGTGAATAATGACCACGGCTACTGATTTTCTGTAACAGCTCCTGCGTGTCGTCTTCTTCACCACAGCTACAGCTACAACCTCACGCACTCGCTCCAGTACAATCTTACAATGTTGGGTACGGCGCTAGACACCCCCCCCTCCACATCCGCAACCCAAGCGTCCGTCCTCCCACTGAGCCACCGCGCCCCGCCCAGCAGCTTTGACATCTTCGAGGAAGAGGGGTTGGCCCCACACCACTCGCATGGTACGGGGAGTCACTCACTCCATATGACACGGGGTGTGTCACTTCCCCAGTGTCCGTCGTTGTGTGCTGTGTCACCTCGCCAGCGCCCGTCGCTTTGTGCTGTGTCACTTCCCCAGCGTCCGTCGCTGTGTGCTGTGTCACTTCCCCAGCGTCTGTCGCTGTGTGGTGTGTCACCTCGCCAGCGTCCGTCGCTGTGTGCTGTGTCACCTCACCAGCGTCCTTCCCTGTGTGGTGTGTCACCTCGCCAGCGTCCGTCCCTGTGTGCTGTGTCACCTCGCCAGCGTCCTTCCCTGTGTGGTGTGTCACCTCGCCAGCGTCCGTCGCTGTGTGCTGTCACCTCACCAGCGTCCTTCCCTGTGTGCTGTGTCACTTCCCCAGCGTCCGTCGCTGTGTGCTGTGTCACCTCCCCAGCATCCGTCCCTGTGTGGTGTGTCACCTCGCCAGCGTCCGTCGTTGTGTGCTGTGTCACTTCCCCAGCGTCCGTCGCTGTGTGCTGTGTCACCTCCCCAGCATCCGTCCCTGTGTGGTGTGTCACCTCGCCAGCGTCCGTCGTTGTGTGCTGTGTCACCTCCCCAGCGTCCATCGCTGTGTGCTGTGTCACCTCCCCAGCGTCCGTCGCTGTGTGCTGTGTCACCTCACCAGCGTCCGTCGCTGTGTGCTGTGTCACCTCCCCAGCGTCCGTCGTTGTGTGCTGTGTCACCTCGCCAGCGTCTGTCGCTGTGTGGTGTGTCACTTCCCCAGCGTCCGTCGTTGTGTGGTGTGTCACTTCCCCAGCGTCCGTCGTTGTGTGCTGTGTCACCTCCCCAGCGCCCGTCGCTGTGTGGTGTGTCACTTCCCCAGCGTCCATCGCTGTGTGGTGTGTCACCTCCCCAGCGTCCGTCGTTGTGTGCTGTGTCACCTCCCCAGCGCCCGTCGCTGTGTGGTGTGTCACCTCCCCAGCGTCCGTCGCTGTGTGGTGTGTCCCTTCTTCAGCGTCCGTCCCTGTGTGGTGTGTGTCATCTCGTCAGCGTCCTTCCCCGTGTGGTGTGTGTCACTGTGTGCTGTGTCACCTCGTCAGCGTCCGTCCCCGTGTGCTGTGTGTCACCTCGCCACATCCTTCCCCGTGTGGTGTGTGTCACTGTGTGGGGTGCGCAGGCAGCAGGTCCGGCGTGCGCTGCGCTTCGTGCAAGAAGTATGTGTGGAACAGTTTTCTGCTCGAGACCTTCCAAGGGAGCGTCCATCCAGATTGGGTCCTGCACATCACACATGGATTTTGTGCACAATCCAGTATCCTGTCCTAACCCCGTGCCTCTCCCCTCCAATCAATCGATAGAGTCTCCTGTGGAACTTCAACGGCATGTCGAGCACTGTGCGGCGCTTGTGTCCGAGCATTTTGTAAGCGTAACCGGCCAAGTGGCTTGGTGGTACAATGAGCAGGTCGCAATCGGAAGGCTGCAAGTTAATATCCTGGTTGGGAGTTGACTCAGCTCATCTGACCTCCAAAATCAGTACCACTTGGTTGTCCTATGGATAGGCACGCTCCCGCCACAGGAATGTGGAATTTCCATTACTTGCTCAGGGCTCTAAACTGGAGATGAACACCACATGAATGTTGATATGAGCACGGAGTCACTTTTGTGACGAGACGGTGTGGGGGAGTGGAATTAGCACGGTCGGCTACGTACGGTGCAAAGGAAGTTCACCGTTTGTGTGGCAGGTGTAAGTCGTGCAGAGACTTTGTGTGTTTCCCTTGATCTCCGACCTTCAGAGCTCGTCGTGTACGGACGGCCAGTCTACATAACCCTCATCGCGCGCCGCTCTGCTCGCTTTGCCGGGACAAGATTTCTCAAGAGGGGAGCAAACTCCGAGGTGCCGGAAATTTCCACTACGTCGCGTCTAATCGTTCGCCGACTCGTTTAAGCCGCTCCGCGGAAGCCGTGCGCCGCGGTGACACCTGTGATGGCGACAATTTTGTCACCGCACCAGGGGGATGTGGCGAACGAGGTGGAGACGGAGCAGATCGTGCAGGACGCCTCGGTGATGACCTTCGCCCACGGCCGCTTCTCCTCCTACGTGCAGCTGCGTGGCTCCGTGCCGCTGCACTGGTCCCAGGATATCTCCTCCATGATCCCCAAGCCACCCATCACGCGTGCGTCCTGCCCGTGCACTTGCTCTTCGCTGCCCGCATCTTGTCCCCGGCGATGACTTGCCGCAGTTTTCAAGAGAAACGCATCAAACCGCGAGATGTGTTTTGTGGGCATTTGGTCGTCAGCTCGCCCGATGAGCTAAAGCGACGATGATTGGCGAGTTTTAAAACCGGTTGCGTCCATGGGACGATCTGTTTGGCTGTGTCCGGTCATGGAGGTTTCTTAATGACACAGATGCGGTCATGAGATCATTTGGAGGTCTAACCCAAAATCAATTACCCATCATGATAATGACTTGAAAAAACCTACGTTATTAATCTTCTTGGTTCTTTCGGTAAAGTCCGGAGAAGGGAAATAATAAAAATAAAACAATAAAATAATATATGATTTTGTTATGCTTTATTTTTTATTAATAAAATATTATTTTACAGTGATACCTCGGTTCACGAACTTATTTCGTGAAATGACTCTGGTCGTGAACGAATTGGTCGTGAACGGAGGCACATTTTCCCATAGGGTTCAATGTAAATCCGGTTAATCCGTTCTGACCTTTTTTTTTGGTTTTTGAAGCACAAAAATATGAAACAAATGACAATACACATTGCTGTAGTACTGCATAACCCTCCGGAAATGAGAGACCACATTATCATTCATGAGATTTAACACTCTGTTCGTGACAGCTATGTTGGGGTGGTGCTTTTCAAAAAAGTCATGGCACTCATTCCATTTCTGCATAATGGATTTTTCAAGGAGAGATCGTTTCGGGGGGCTGTGGTCAACGCTGACGAAAATACGTGGAAAAAAATCCATCGCTCGGGGTTTTTTTATTTTTAGGTGAAGAGGGATGACTGTCACAGCTGGCGCATGTGTGCCTCTCCGCTCATTCCGGGGTGCGCGCGCGTGCATGCGCGTGCGCGCGTGCGTGCGTCCGCGCGCGCGTGTAGCCTGCGCGTGAAGGGCAGAAGAGGCGGGCGCACCACGTGTCGCGAGCCCACGAGGAGGAGGAGGAGGAGGCGGGTACTCCCTCGGCTGATTTTGCATTGCTCACTCCCGTTACAATAAATCACGACCATGTGACAGCCTGAAATTAGCATAAAAATGGGCGCGGTTCCTGTTCGTGAACCGAAGCGGAGTTCGTGAACCGAAGCATATTTTTATGAAATTTTCTGGTCGTGAACCGAGTTGTTCGTGAACCGAACCGTTCGTGAACCGAGGTATCACTGTATTAGACTTTATTTTTATTATTTTATTATTTCCCTTATACGTGACTTTACCGAAAGAACCAAGAGGATGAATCCCTGCAGTCACGAAAGCTTTATATCAAAATCTACGTTATTAAGTTATGTCAACTGTGATTGCTGCTGTTGCTGTTTTTTTAAAGCAAATATCCAATGCTAGCTGCTGTCTTGCCCTTGTTTCCCAGTGGATCAGGCAGACCCGTACATGCTGGTGGCCGGGCTGCATTTTGATCAGATGCTGCAGCGATTTGGTTCCCCCATCGTCATCCTCAACCTGGTCAAGGTGATCCTGGAGGCATTTCGTGCGCAGAGCACCGTACACCTCGTACATGCCGTGGCAGTGCCATGTACAAGGCACACCTGTGCCAGGAGATGTACTAAACTAAAAAAACATATTTATTTTAGCAGGTGAGGCCCACTGAGTTGTATAGCTTTTTTCAGAAACGACCTGGCCACAAATGAAGTCGCTGAGCATGTGGAAATTTACAGTAGCCAACACTCTAAACGCATGTTTCTAAATGCGGAGGGAAAGCCCGGAAGACCACGGGGAGAACATTCAAGCTCCAAATAGACAGGCGTCAGGGTCGGGATCGAACTCATGACCTCCTGTAGACCAGGCGAGCTAGTTAACATCTGGCCACCGTGTGCGTGTGCATGGAACCCAGCAAACCCCAGTCTGCTTTACACTCACGACCAGTAACAAAAGTGGCGGATATTTGAATCGATCCTAGGCCTCTTCTATGTCAACTCAGCCTTAAATTAATACCTGGTTTGGTGTGCCATCAACTCTGGGGAGGCGAAGCTTGTTGGACGTAGTTCTGGCCACCCACCCCCTCGCGTGCCGTGCCTGCCTTCGTATGTGCTCGCTTACAGCACTTGTCCCAAAATTCTGTTAAGGCTATACAGGGGGTCTTTGTATATTTATAGAGGTGCGTGTGTGTGTGGTGTAGCATCATGTGTAAGTGCACATGTATGCATCTGTGTGTGTGTGGGGAGCGGTGGCGTAGTGGTTAGCGCTCAGCGCTACGAACCCGGGGACCCGAGTTCGATTCCCGCTCAAGTCCAACACCAGTGACGATTATCTGAATCGGTTCTGGGCCTCCCCTAGGTTCTACTCGGCCTCAAATGAGTAAACATCGCCACTAGGGAGAGAAAGGCGGCCGGGCGTGGTGCTGGCCACCCACCCCCTCGTGTGCCGTTCCGGCTTTCATAGGCGCTTGCAAACAGCACTTCCCCCGACAGTCTGTTAAGGCTATACGGGGGATCTTTGTCTTTGCATGCTGGTGTGCGTGCGTCCTTTGCTTGTGCGAGAAGCGTCACGAGAAGCGTCGCCATGAGAGCCTGCTGAGCGAGGAGCTGCTGGCGGCCGTCGGCTACCTGAACCTCTTCCTCCCCCCTGAGCACCACATCCACTATATCGCGTGGGACATGGCCAAGTACAGCAAGAGGTGGAGGCCACGCGCACGGCTCGCACCCGACAGCTTTTACGAGCTTCTTGGTTCTTTCGGTAAAGTCACGTAGAATGGAAATAATAAAATAATAATATAATTCTCACGACGTTTCGGCCACAGCGCAAGCAGTCGTCCTCAGGTGAAGACCAGGTCTGTCGGGGAGACAGCGTCTGTCTTATTTTATTATTTTATTCTTTCCATTCTACGTGACTTTACCGAAAGAACCAAGAAGATGAATCCCCGCAGTCACGAAAGCTTTAAATCAGCTTTTACGATGTGTACGGGGCGCACACACCGACTCGTGCGCCCGGTTGTGGTCGTGTTCGTTGCGGCGATCGTTGTGGATGTGCTGCTTAGGTTTGTTTTTTGTCGATGTTTTTGTTGTGTGCTGCAGGAAGCATGTGAACGTGCTGGACAAGCTGAGTGACATTGCGGAGGGAGTTCTCAGGAAGACGGGTTTCTTCATGAACAAGCGGAGCTACTATTGCAACGCTCTGCACCTCGAGGAGAGGTGAGGGACAACCAGGGATACACCCGGCACCTGGTGGAGGAGGTGAGTCTCGTGGGGTTAGTGTTTAACTGCGTCTCTGAATCTCTGTGTGTGTGTGTCGGTGAGCAGATTGGATGAGATCGGGGGACTAAGGATGGCTGGTCGACAGTTACAGGTGCTCGCTCATAACCCTGTTGTCAGCTCTGTACACCACATTGAGAGAGCAGTGGAGCAATTGGAAATGTACAACACGTGAGCACGTGGTGCTGGATTTATTGTTGCATCGCAAGATCACGGGAGGTGGTGGCGGTGGCATGGGGAGGGCTTCATCCGGCTGTGGATTAATCATGACTGTTGATGATAAGATAAGGACATGCTGTGGATAGTGTTGGCAATGACAGTAAACTGAAAGCTATATATTGGAGTATTTTATGCTAGTTTTGTGTGTGTGCGTTTTTTGTGTGTGTGCGTTTTTTATGCAAGTTTTCAAACGTTTTCTATCAAGGCATGCGCAAAGTAATATAGTGTTATCGTGTGTGAACAGACAGGAGTACTACGGACTAACTGCGTCGACTGTCTGGACCGCACCAACACTGCACAGTTCATGGTTGGAAAGTGTGCGCTCGCATATCAGCTGTACGCTCTGGGAGTGCTCGGCAGTCCACAGCTGGAGCTTGACACCGACGCTGCCAGGTATGGAGTGCACGCACGGGCTACCATGCACATGCGCACAGCTACGTATGGAACCCTGAACACACTGCACACAAATCTTGACTCAAAGCTTTCGTGACTGCAGGAATTCGTATTCTTTGGGTCTTTCGGTGAAGCTACGTGGATAGAAAAATAACAAAATTATCACGGCGTTTCGATCGCAACACAAGCAATCGTCAGCAGGTGAAAAAATATAGTGAGAGAGCTGCCTGATGACGATTGCTTGTGTTGCAAATCGAAACGTCATGATAATTTTATTATTGTTCTATCTACGTGGCTTTACCGAAAGACCCAAAGAACACTGCGCACACTTTGAGTGCATACACCTACACGCATGTGTACATAGCATCTGCGGCTATGGGTTGGCATTTTCAAGATCAAGATGTCAACACACCTCTGCAACGCTCTCCGCCGCTGCAGATCCTGCAGCTGCTGCACAGTTGGCAACGAGACCTTCAGGATCTGCGCTAATAGTATCCCAGCGCCTGCTCTTAGGTCTTTCCCTTGGTCAACGGACTCGTGGAGACCATATTCTTGGGTTTTTTCGGTAAAGTCACGTAGGTAAAAAATTTAATTAAAATAAAATAAAAATCACGACGTTTCGGAGGCAACACAAGCCTCCGTCTTCAGGTGGAACCGTCACAGCACGCTCGCTGTATCAAGTAAATGGAGACCACTCCACAACCACTGCTGCCTCATCATATCTTCCAAGCTATGCTAGTGTAATTATTTATTTTAACTTGGAAAACTTGCCTTGGAAAACATCATAGGCAGGTGGGCCCCTGCCTATGATGTTTATTTTGTTTCCTTATGTTGTTGAACTTCATCAGCAGCATTGCATGTGGGAATGAACAGGAGTGCCCAAAGAAATCCCACACGCTGAGAAAAGGGCGGATACTCAAAGCTGCCGCAGCCTGCCATAAATCTGCTCACCATAGCACCAATGGCTCCAGTCTCGCGTGATCCAACTCGCTGGATTAAGGGCACATGCCTTAAGACGTCCTAATTCTTAGTCTTGCGCTCAGGTTAGCAATGACATCTAGCACAGCAAAGATGTCTCAATTGTGACCTCAAGTTGGATGCTGTTCTAAAGAGCAAGGCAGTATGCGAGCGAAGTGTTCGCACACAAACAGCACCAACCACGTCACCACATCGCAGAGATCATATCCACTCTGGTCATACACCCTGCATTGAGATTTGGGCATACAATTGAGGTTTTGTGCTTATAATAATCATACATTTCTTCACCTGAGGACGGCTGCTTGCGTTGTGGCCGAAACGTCGTGAGAATTATTTTATTATGTTTTATTTTTATTATTTTATTATTTCCCTTTTACGTGACTTTACCGACAGAACCAAGAAGATGAATCTCTGCAGTCACGAAAGCTTTAAATCGAAATTTAATCGTAAATAATTACATTTATATAGCGCTTTTAATCAAGGAGCTCAAAGCTTTGCACAGGACACAGCAGTAGCAGACACTCAGCATAAAAATTATATTATAAATACATTACAAAAATAATTTACTAAATTAACTAAAAATGTCATAAGCGGAAGCATATAAATGTGACCAGCATGTGCACACAACTGTCGCCTGTGCATTGAGACGTTCCTTGTGGCTATTGGATGTTGTCGTGTTACAGGATACTGGAGGAGTTGTACGAAGACCATGGTGACACGCTGGCCCTGCAGTACGGAGGCTCCCAGCTGGTGCACCGTGTCAAGACTTACCGCAAGCTGACGCCGTGGACCTCACACTCGCGGGACATCATGCAGACGCTCTCCCGCTACTACAGCAACGCCTTTTCAGGCAATGCCAATCGCAATGCACACGGCTAGACGCTTTTCAGGCAATGCCAATCGCAATGCACATGGCTAGACGCTTCGCCGTGCGTGTGGGGCCTGCTTTGCATTCATGTGCATGTGCCCTGCAGGAGTATATGATGCATACCTGTCAACCCCTTATCAGTTGCCCTACCTTATTACAGACCAATTCAGACCTTATTGGTCACCCCGTGCTCTTGTAAATCTCAACGTTCATCCTACAAAAATATTTTTTGTGCCCGTATTGAAACGGCTGCATGCCGTGTGGACCTGAAAACTCAATTTCCCTGTACAAGAATACAGGTAAACCGTATGGGATGACAGGTATGTGATGCTAATCAATGAAAAATGTTCTCGCAAACTGGACTTTAGACCATGTATGTGATATTTTTTGGCTCCTCGTTAGACTGATACACAACTGTGTGGTTGTGCGTGTACGAAATGACCGACGATGCATTGCGCGCGATCCACCCACGTGACTGCTGCAGCCACGAGTAGCATCGCGACGCGCTGCAATCCACGACTGCAAATCGTTTCGTACTCTTCGCGTGCGTGGACTCGCATACGGGTTGTGTTCGTGACCCGACCCCCCCACCCCTCTCCCCCGCTGCGCAGACGCTGAGAAGCAGGATGCAATGAACCTGTTCCTGGGGATGTTTGTGCCTCGGGATGGGAGGCTGCATCTGTGGGAGCTCACGACGGATTACTACCTCCACCACACGGATGCCACCCGCCTCCCTTCCGCGCTGCGCAGGTGTGTGCCCTTCCGTCCGCTGAATCCGCATGTTGAATCGTTGAAGCGGATAGGTGAACTCTGCAAATGGGGAGGATTCTATTCTAGATTTGAAGCTTTCGTGACTGCAAGAATTCATACTCTCAGTTCTTTCGGTAAAGTCACGTAGGTAAAAAAAATTTGAAATTCAAATTAATAAAAATAAAATAATAAAATCACTGATTTTATTCTTTTATTTTAATGAAGTCACGTAATTAAGTCACATAGGTAAAAATCAAATAATAAAATCACTGATTTTATTATTTTATTTTAATTTTAATTTCATTTTTTTACCTACGTGACTTTACTGAAAGAACTGAGAGTATGGGGAGGATTCTAGTCGATTTTGTCCACGATTCTCACGGCCTGGGTCTTGTGCAGACTGTCGAATTAGATTTCCTGTTGTGCGCCCCAATCCCACGGCATTTTCTCCTGTATGCGTCCATCGTGTGTGTGTGTTTCCTCCGTCTCGGCTGATTTTCAGTCGCAGGATCTATCCATCTTCTTGGTTCTTTCGGTAAAGTCACGTAGAAGGGAAGTAATAAAATAATGAAAATAAAACATAATAAAATAATTCTCACGACGTTTCGGCCACAACGCAAGCAGCCGTCCTCAGGTGGAGAACAGGTCTGTCGGGGAGACATTCAGACGCTGTCTCCCCGAAGGACCTGGTCTTCACCTGAGGACGACTGCTTGCGTTGTGGCCGAAACGTCGTGAGAATTATTGTATTATGTTTCATCTTTATTATTTTATTACTTCCCTTCTACGTGACTTTACCGAAAGAACCAAGAAGATGAATCCCTGCAGTCACGAAAGCTTTAAATCGAAAGGATCTGTCCATTCATAGGGATGTATTCTCGTCACAAATTTCCAGCTGATGTTCACTTGCTTTTATTTGTAGTGATTTGCGGTGTTTCCTGTCTCTCCTGTTAGTCCCACAAGATGCAATTTCACATTTCGTCTCAAGACTGCGGCTATGCAGTCTTGCGTGCCCTATTGGAGGCGGCTGCTCATGACATCGGCGTATGCTTCGATTTAAAACTTTCGTGACTGCAGGGATTCATCTTCTTGGTTCTTTCGGTAAAGTCACGTAGAAGGGAAGTAATAAAATAATAATAATAATACAAATTCAGACGCTGTCTTCTCGACAGACCTGTTTCTTCACCTGAGGACGGCTGCTTGCATTGTGGCCGAAACGTCGTGAGAATTATTTTATTATGTTTTATTTTTATTATTTTATTACTTCCCTTCTACGTGACTTTACCGAAAGAACCAAGAATATCGGCGTATGCGTTGGCACCGGTTGGCAGGGACACGTCCTTGTGACAGAGAGCTCTTTGGAGTCTAGGCACACTGAACACGTGCCACAAGCCAATGAATTGGATGTCATTCCCTTAAGGGATTAAATGGACCCCCGTTCCCTACAGGTTTGGTGGCACACCCCTGTAATTCTACACTGTGGAGGTGAGGGTTGGTGGAAAGGGAAACATGTTGCGCGACTTCCTTTGTGGGCATCAAGGTACAATATCCTGGCTCGCGAAGCCGAATGGAGTATAGCAAAGTGTTGACCGATGTCATCTGTCCAGTGTGGAACGATGCAATGCCCCGATCCACAAATATACGAAGGAGACGTCACAGCGATGATCTGCTATTCTAGATTTGAAGCTTTCGTGACTGCAAGGATTCATTATTATTTATTTCTATAATTATTTATATTATTTATTATTTATTTTATTTTTTACCTACGTGACTTTACCGAAAAAACCTAAGAAGATGATACGCTACTCTGCTGCACCAGCTGACATGGTTGTCTGGCTTGAGCCACCTTAATGTGAATTTGTAGTTGTTGATCTGCATCTACATCGGCCATACGAAAAGAGGATATGTCCCTTCTGTATGGAATGGAGTGTTGCCCTCTTGCATGTGTGGGTTTTCTCCGAGTCCTCCGGTTTCCTTCCGCATGTATGAAGACTCACTAATTGGTTGAAAACATCTTATTATGTAGAGAACTGCAGAGCAAGTGTTGGTGTTGCCTGGAAACCTTTCAGCTTGGTCTGTGGTTCCTCTGCGCCCGTGAGACCCAATCTGTATGAATGACGCTGCATCAAGTTAATCATGACAATCATTAGATTATGTATGTGACAGATGCGAAGGTGTGTTAGCACTAGAAAAGAGTGAATTTTATGTTAGATCCCACAGCCGAAATGGTAGAAGATGTTAACGCAGTGTGATAGTCTTAATACAGGGTTTTACATCACTTCTGTTGTGCGTTACACAGACCCTGCACGTATTAGTAATAATATGAGTAATATTTTCCCAGAACATGTCACTGAGTCTCAAGACAATTGTTCAGGAGGTTTCTGTGTTTGGTTGTTTGGCCACTTCCTTTAAGGAATGTTTGCCTTGTGGGAGGAAACCATATACAGTAGACTTTCGTGTAAGAATAATTTTTACCCTTTCTGGCAACAAAACAGGTGTTAAGATTTTGATTTAAAGCTTTCGTGACTGCAGGGATTCATATTCTTGGTTCTTTCGGTAAAGTCACGTAGAAGGGAAATAATAAAATAATTAAAATGAAACTAAAATTCTCACGACGTTTCGATTGCAACACACAAAGCGCAATCATCGTCAGGTGTGAAAACCACAGCAAGAACATTTTTTTTGCAAGAACATTTTCTTGCTGAATATGAATCCCTGCAGTCACGAAAGCTTAAAATTGAAACCTCTAAAAACAGTTAATTCGTCGTTATTCTCGGACATGTGTGTATTGCAAGTCACGTGCTTAAACCGAGAGAAAATATGCGGCTCCGGTTAATCCGAAATGCACGTGATCGCCTCTACAGTGCAGTAGTTGCCATACCTTTACAACAGTGGAGGCGGTTTGATTGATGTTGATTGGCGTGGCTCTGCTATCCACTTCGTGGAGCCGAGTTGTCTGCGTGGGCAAATATGTTTTTTGGCATCGAGATCCGTGGAACATTTATATTTTTGGATTATCCGGAGATTTTGAATTATCCGCGGCCGTCCTCCCCGTCATTAGCACGGATAATCGAGAGTTATCCTGGATACTCAAAAGCTCAGCACAGATAATTCCATCTCCTGGCCACCGTGTGTGTAGCTTAAGCCTGCAACAGCTGGTACTCCCAGAAACTAGGATTTTCAATCCGCTCAGCTCCCGAGATCCGGCGGGAACGGGCGCGTTCAGCGAAATGTGCGTGTTTCTGTGGCAGCTACACCCGCTGGTGGTCTCCGGTGCTACTCTCATGTCTTCCACTGCCCTACGTTCCACGTGAGTCTCCCCCGCTCGTCGCCGGCATTTCGGGAAGCTGAGAGTTGGTTTCGTGGGGTAAGATCAACATCATTGGATCCTGATTTGCCAGTAAAAATATGATAATTGTTTTTTTACCCTTCTATCTGGCGTCATCTGGTTGCAACCCATGTGAGACTAGGCTCTAAGGAAAGCTGTCTCGGGTGTGGACCAATCAACTTCAAGGACAGTGCACATTATCAGAGTTGTGTTTTTGTTTGCATTGTGACTGCAGGTATTGTGGTCCATGTAAACATGACTCCTTGTAAAAAAGGTGTCAGTTTTGCTGCCAGATAGAAGGGTAAAAAACCAATTATAAGATCAACATGTTTTTGTGGCCAAAGTCGTCAAAGTCCGCCATCCCTACTACACACGAAATTGCCAACGCTCTCTCTCCTCTCTGCCAGATCCCTCAGCTGCTGCGCAGTATGCTGACACACAGCCATCTCAAAGATCTGCCCTCGCAGTAATCCCGCCTTCCATAGCCTTAGGTCTTCCCTTTGTCGCCACACCTGTGGATACCACTCCAATGTCTGTGTTGGCAATTTTCCATCCCTCATCTTTCATGCGTCCCACCCAGTGCGGCCTATATTGCATAATTACATTTACAACAATTCTGGATTTATATCTTGCCACAACATTGCTAGCATCCATCTCGGCCACCCGAGGTCAATTGTAAGAAACGTTTTTTTTAGGTTCCTATGAGACCAGCTCTCTGATCCATACCGTACTATTCCTGTTTAAAATATTATTGTATTTATACTCAAACGCGTTATTCTGTTTTTTTATTCGAAAGCCCATCAAAAATATGCCCTTACAAAGCAATGTCTCTTGACCTCCTGCGTTAACGCATCTCTCCTCCTCCCGTAACTTACAGCTCTTCTGCAGGATGCCCACTTCTAGCTACCAGTAGCAATTTCGTCTTTGGAGACCCCAGTCTCCAGCCGCAGTGCCTAACACCGCCGGCATTGGACAATTGGGGTGAATCTGTGCAGATCACTTGAGGATTTGCGTAAAGTGCCATTTTCATTCCGTTTTAATAAAAGGCACAGTTACAAGAATCGGTGCGTGGATTAACTGGGTAATTAAAAGACACATAAAGCAGTGCCGAAGAAGAAATATTTTAGCCATGGGACCTTTTTGCCAGTATAAAAAATTCCGAAAAATACGAATAGGTTTGGGGCCGTCCATAAATGACGTCACGCACCTAGTGGGGTGGGGGGGGGGGGGTCAGACATTTGTGACGATGTGTGACGAGGGGGGGGGGTTTGAGAAATGTGACGTCACATCAAAATGCGCAACTTTAAATAAATATAGACAACACGTTCTACTTAATTAAATAGACTTTTTAATAAATGTTTTTTCCTACAGCATCAGAGTGCAGCGCCACATTAAATACGCACTACAATGACAATAGTTTAAAGCGATTTGAAGCATGTTTTATTTTCAAAATGGAAATATGGTTTTGGGGGGAGGGGGTGGGCAGAGCTTTATGACGTCATATTTGAGGGGGGGAGGTCTGACTTTTTGTGACGCCGTGTGACGAGGGGGGCCCGTTTTACGCTTTCTGGCAATAAAACAGGAGATGTTAAGATGCTCAAACACCACCTAGACACCTTTTGCAAGGCAACTGTGAACATCTGTAAACAAACATGTCCTGATAATATCTGCATTGTCTTTGTACTGTTGGCCTTTTGGTGATCTCTGGTCTAACGCTGGTGAGACAAGGCCATGAACAAGACTGTCTCTGGTGTAGGACAATCAGTTTCAAAGACAGTGCATATATTATATCAGAGCGTGTTCGTTTGCATGTTTTGTGTGGTTAATGTAGATTTCATGCCTTGCAAAAGGTTTCTATTTGGTGTTTAAACATCTTAACATCTCCTGTTTTATTGCCAGAAAGCGTAAAAGCTATTCGTATTTTTCGTAATTTTTGATACTGGCAAAAAGGTCCCATGGCTAAAATGTTTCTTCTTAGGCACTGCTTAACGTGGCTTTTCATTACCCAGTTAATGCACGCACCGATTCCTGACTCTGTGCCAGAAAGAAATACTTTCATCGGTGTACATTGATCAACTTTGATGAGAAACATGAACATTGATCGAAAATATTTATTGACGGCTGTAAAATGGTGCAAAGAACCATGGAGAGGTAAAATTTGTCAAAACTAAGAGCAGCTGCGGGGACGATAGGGGGGTGGGGGGGGGGGTTGAATTGAACTGACGTAAGATAATTGACGTTGAGCCCGATCTCCTGCAGGTGCAGGACAAGAGACGGGTAATCAGCCCGCGGGGTCCGATTGCCTGGGCGAAGGCGCCGAGGAGGAGGATGAGGAGACGGACGTTTACACCGAGTTCTTCCAGCCTCATCAGCTGACCTGCCTCGAAGAAACCTTCGCCTTCACGATGCCTTGCTCCACCCGGTGAGTGGCCTGCACCGCCACCTCGGCCAAGAATGATGTTTGGAGTTCTAAGATGATTTTGGTTTCACCAGGTGAGAACTCAAGAGACCCGGGATGAGTCTCATTTTCGAGCGTTACCTGTGGAAGTAGTCTGCCAGCGGGGGGGGGTGGGGGTGGGTGATGTTTGCTGCTATGTATAATTCCAGTTGAGATAATTTGTGGGTGATCATTGATTTTGCCATATTTGGATCCTGACGCCAGCATACAATGGCCTAGTCTTCCGAATGACGTCAACAGTAATACCCAGGGCAGCCGCTGGATTCGAACTGTGAACATCTGCAACAAGTAGCTAACGTGTTGCCACTCGGCCACGTCACTGCCTAAGGTAAGCAGGTTATCTTGGCCAATGCTGTTGATCCGAATTAAAGTTTGTTACTGTGTGAGTTGAGGTTGCAGTGTCGGTCTGAATGGATGTTGCTGTGTTGTTTCAGAGACTTCATGCCCAAGGGGGCGTCCATAAATCCAAGCCCATTCATCGTGCGGAAACCTGAAGAGACCAGCAAGAGCTCTCCTTCGCTGAGGTGTCCTGGTTTTTACGCTTAAAGGATGCGTTCACTGTGTACACACGTGACTTTTATGTATGTTGTGCGGTTATCAAATCAATCTCGATCAAAATGTTATCGTGGCCAAGCCATCGATTGCCAACACACCTTGGCAATGCTGTCAACCCTTCGCCGGATCCAGCAGCTGTTTGCACAGTAGACAATCGACCCTCAAGATGTGCCCTAAACATTATCCCACCATCTGTGCTGAGGCCTTACTCTTTGGTCTTTGAAATCGGCCCTCCCCATCCCGCACGTACCACACAGTGCAGCCCTTGTTCCTCATGACATCTACAAATCTTGGTCTGCCATGCGCTCATCCAGACTACTGTGTTGCATATCCTATCTTGCCATGATATGCAGTCCCTTGCATCCATCCCAGACACCTGTGCTCAAATGCCAAAGACTTTTTTTTTAGCTCCTTTCGGTCCAGGGGGCCCTGGTATGGAACAGCTTACGCAATTCTACGCAGTTCTATAATATTCTTGGTTCTTTCGGTAAAGTCACGTAGAAGAAAAATAATAAAATAATAAAAATAAAACATAATAAAATAATTCTCATGAGAGAACTCGTGAGAATTATTTTATTATGTTTTATTTTTATAATTTTCCTTTTACGTGACTTTACCGAAAGAACCAAGAAGATGAATCCCTGCAGTCACGAAAGCTTTAAATCGCAGTTCTATAAATTGCGTCGCGAGAATTTGTCCCAATTCCGATTCACTACGGGATTGACACGTGGGGATTGCTTAAATTTCCATGAAAACATAGGGGCGGTTACTTGCGTCCACACACACTATTGCGTCCACACGCACACGCACGTGCGTGCTCACAAAGACAAAGATCCCCCGTATAACCTCTACAGACTGTTGAGGTGAGTGCTGTTTGCGAGCACCTATGAAGGCTGGCATGGCGCACGAGGCAGTGGGTGATCACCACAACGCCCGACCGCCTTTGCCTAGTTTCGATGTTTTACACATCACATCGGATAGTTATTTGAGGCTGAGTGGACTGAGGGGAGACCCAGCACTGGTTCACATATTCCGTCACCGATGTTGGCCAGGAGTGGGAGTCGAACTCGGGTCGCCAAGTTCTTCGCTAATATAGCCTCCTACACGACCACTCTCCTAAATACACAAACACAATCACAAATACACACCCAGACACATGCACACATCCACACTCTTACACACTCAACGTACAACACACACAGGTGCACAATCACATACAAATACTCTCCCCGCACAGACACACACTGTCACAAACCGACAAAGGAAAAGATCCCCATATCGCCTTTAAACGGGCTGTTCATTAACACCTATTACGGTCGGGCATTGCACACAATAGATGCATTAAAAACCCACAAAAACACTTCTCTGCCACACTAGCACATGAACACATTCCTACGCACTCAATTGCACACACACATGCTCATACACTCGCACATATAAGCGCATGCAAAATCACATAATTAAAAAAAACATTAACATTTGTACAATGTACAACTTACCTCGGTAACAGACTGAAGCGGTGAAATCACGGTGGCCATATTGCACGGGGACTTGATGCGCCGATGTCGGCCATTTTACATCAGGGTCGCTTTTCCTTGCAGCTGATTGGGTGGCGTAGCGGGAGTGATGGCAACCCCTCGCCCCCCCGGCGACCGCTGGCGTGCATCCATCTTCGCACCTGATCGGAACGCGCACACAGACGCTCAACGTTTCGGGCGACGCAATTTCGCAGCCGACACAAAATCGCTGCCCGGTTGATCTTGTGCAGATTTTCTGTGCTCAGGCCCCTCAGCTCTGTGATCCATAGAGTAATACGGACCCATTTTCCTTACACTCGTTAACCGTGTTTCTCTGCTCTCTTCCAAAATGGTTTGCTTAGCCCATCAAAAACCTCCACCGCTAAAGCAACGTGCCTCTTTGACCTCTTCCTCACAACTTCCTGCATAATGAACATTGCTGCCTCAGTATACAAAGTCCCCCACCACCACCACCACTGTGGTTATGGATAAGAGAATTGTGCGTAGATGTTATGCTCGTCTTTTTAGTACAAAGCGTATTGTAAAAAAATATGCAATGGCTTACTTTAGTGATGTGTTGCCAATTCACCGACACCCTTCTAACTTGATCCCTGCTGGGGGGTGCTGGGGGGTGCTGACTGCCCGCCCCGCCCCTCCCTGCCCATGTGCTACGTAGCATTGCGAGCACCTGGCGATGTGCTTTGACAAACCACTCAGGCTAAAAGGGGGGGGGGGTGGTCCTCTGTTGGTCTGTGTCTGCAGTAAGGCACGTGAGGAAGGGCTGGGGGCGGTGCAGCGCAAGACGGTGGCGAGCGCTCCACCCCCGGCCCCCCTGGAGGACACTCCGTCCAGCAGCTCGGGGGACGACTCGGCATCGGACGCCGACGATGAAAACTCGGCGTCCGTGCGCGGCTCCCCGGCCCGTCCCAACCGGCATCCCGGAGAATGTGTGGATCCACGGCAGGTCAGAGTCGCCGTCCGCGTGGCCTCCTGTGTGGATCCAGGTCAGAGTCGCCGTTCCGTGTGGCCTCCTGTGTGGATCCACGGCAGGTCAGAGTCGCCATTCCGTGTGGCCTCCTGTGTGGATCCACGGCAGGTCAGAGTCGCCGTCCGCGTGGCCTCCTGTGTGGATCCACGGCAGGTCAGAGTCGCCGTCCGCGTGGCCTCCTGTGTGGATCCACAGCAGGTCAGAGTCGCCGTCCGCGCGGCCTCCTGTGTGGATCCACGGCAGGTCAGAGTCGCCGTCCGCGTGGCCTCCTGTGTGGATCCACGGCAGGTCAGAGTCGCCGTCCGCGTGGCCTCCTGTGTGGATCCACGGCAGGTCAGAGTCGCCGTCCGCGTGGCCTCCTGTGTGGATCCACGGCAGGTCAGAGTCGCCGTCCGCGTGGCCTCCTGTGTGGATCCACAGCAGGTCAGAGTCGCCGTCCGCGTGGCCTCCTGTGTGGATCCACGGCAGGTCAGAGTCGCCGTCCGCGTGGCCTCCTGTGTGGATCCACGGCAGGTCAGAGTCGCCGTCCGCGTGGCCTCCTGTGTGGATCCACGGCAGGTCAGAGTCGCCGTCCGCGTGGCCTCCTGTGTGGATCCACAGCAGGTCAGAGTCGCCGTCCGCGTGGCCTCCTGTGTGGATCCACGGCAGGTCGGAGTCGCCGTCCGCGTGGCCTCCTGTGTGGATCCACGGCAGGTCGGAGTCGCCGTCCGCGTGGCCTCCTGTGTGGATCCACGGCAGGTCGGAGTCGCCGTCCGCGTGGCCTCCTGTGTGGATCCACGGCAGGTCAGAGTCGCCGTCCGCGTGGCCTCCTGTGTGGATCCACGGCAGGTCGGAGTCGCCGTCCGCGTGGCCTCCTGTGTGGATCCACGGCAGGTCAGAGTCGCCGTCCGCGTGGCCTCCTGTGTGGATCCACGGCAGGTCAGAGTCGCCGTCCGCGTGGCCTCCTGTGTGGATCCACGGCAGGTCAGAGTCGCCGTCCGCGTGGCCTCCTGTGTGGATCCACAGCAGGTCAGAGTCGCCGTCCGCGTGGCCTCCTGTGTGGATCCACGGCAGGTCAGAGTCGCCGTCCGCGTGGCCTCCTGTGTGGATCCACGGCAGGTCAGAGTCGCCGTCCGCGTGGCCTCCTGTGTGGATCCACAGCAGGTCAGAGTCGCCGTCCGCGTGGCCTCCTGTGTGGATCCACGGCAGGTCAGAGTCGCCGTCCGCGTGGCCTCCTGTGTGGATCCACGGCAGGTCAGAGTCGCCGTCCGCGTGGCCTCCTGTGTGGATCCACAGCAGGTCAGAGTCGCCGTCCGTGTGGCCTCCTGTGTGGATCGTGTGGAGGGTGTCGGCGGGGAGGGTGCGACGGACGAGGAAGATTGAGGCATTTCGATTTAAAACTTTCGTGACTGCAGGGATTAATCTTCTTGGTTCTTTCGGTAAAGTCACGTAGAATGGAAATAATAAAATAATAAAAATAAAACATTATCAAATAATTCTCACGACGTTTCGGCCACAACGCAAGCAGCCGTCCTCAGGTGAAGAACAGGTCTGTCGGAAAGACAGAGTCTGAATGACTTCACCTGCTTGCGTTGTGGCCGAAACGTCGTGAGAATTATTTTATTATGTTTTATTTTTATTACTTTATTATTTCCATTCTACGTGACTTTACCGAAAGAACTAAAAAGAAGATTGAGGCACTCGCACGTCGGTGATTTGTGGCGTGCGTGGCCTGCGTAATGGATCGATTCCTGTCCTCTAGTGACTCGGGGAGAATGGTTCATGCTTTTGTGTTCGCCCGACTTGATCAGGCGACAGACAAAATTTGGCTGTCGCCTGATGAAGCTAGTTGCAATTACTGGCGAAACGTCGTATTTAGTTTGGAAATGTTGTGGCTTGGCTCTCCAACACACAGGTGTGCTGTACCTGTGACGAATTGGCATGTTCTGTTTACGTGACAACCCTCACTAGTTGGCTGTGTCGGGTGGTGGCGGGTTTTAACGACACATTTAGATATTTACACGATCTAACCCAAACAAACCTCTATTATGGATTTATTTCTATTTGTCCTGGAATTTAATAATATATCCCCCTGCTTCCCACATGTATCAATATCCATAATTGGAGTTGTGACCGCACATTACAATCGAAGCCCACAGGACCTTGGGCAACGGTTGGGCCCGTTCTAGCAGCCATCCTGCTCGTCTTTGGCTTCCTGCGCCTCTTGAATTATTATTAATTCTGAGAGTGGTTACAAATTCTACATTTTTATTACGGAAACATTGGGGAAAGATCAAAGGGTAGCAGGGCATGAGGACGAGATATGGCGTCCGTCGCAAATCAATCAAGCATCTGCAATAGCTTGGAGCTGTAGTTTTCAGATTCGCGTACAAATCCTGTGTTTGCAGCAGAGAGGTTCGTTAGCCTGGGTATTCAATTGAAAAAGTCATTGGCGAATGTGAATTGCAGCGATTGTCTTTGACTTTCCTAAGCAGGTGATATACCCTTCGGCGCAGAGTGTCTACGGAGTCGACATCACGAAGCAGCTCAGTCTGCAGGACCAAGAGCTGTATGCCAAGTGAGTTCACCACCTTATTGAATGACAACCAAGTTTCGCGACTTCACACGGAATTGACGTAAATCAGAGGTCGCAAACGGGTTTTGATTCCTTACCCGTACCCGTACCAGGCCGCACCAGGGTCGCAAACGGGTACCCGTACCCGATACCCGGCCGGGTACGGGTAGCCGGGTATCGGGTAGGGTACGGGTATTGGGTACCCGATTGCGACCTCTGGGATGAAGCCATGTTGCAGGCACGGGTGGGTTGATTCTAGGAACTTGAAGCATGAGAAGAGACAAGACGTTGGGAAATGAGTGACAAAGTTACTCACCAGTGACTCACGGTCTACCCGTACCCGTACCCGGCCGCACCAGGGTCACAATCGGCTACCCGATACCCGGCCGGGTACGGGTAGCCGGGTATCGGGTAGGGTACGGGTATCGGGTACCTGATTGCGACCTCTGACGTAAATGTCTAAAACGCGCAAGGCAACGGTACGCAAATTGTTAGCGCAGAGTCTGCTTGCTTTGCACGTTTTCATCACCGCTGTATGTTTCGTTGCAAGGTTTGTGAAGCTGGGCGTTGACCACAAGTCGACGGAGCCGAGCGTGCGTGTGGCCTCCATCCTGGATGTCTCTAAGCTGCTGTGAGTCCACCCACTCGGCACTCGTTTGCACCAGGCCCGCGTCACCCTCTGCGCTCGTACTTAATTCTTTGTATCGTAGAAGTTAACGCTGACGTAATTACCGCTTTGGGTTACAATAAAACATTCGGAGCGATGGTGACGGGACGTTATGCGTGTGTGTGGCACGCAGGACTCCGCTATCGGTCTTCCCTCCCGCGAGCGTGCGCCGCGTGTCTCCTCCGCGCGTCTCCGCGCCTGCGCTGGACGTGTACGAGGCGCACGTCCGTGCCGCGCGAGGCCACACGCTGGAGCCCCGCAGGCACGACCTGGTGCTGTACCGACAGCACGTGCGGAACCGCTACATGTGAAGCGTGCTCTACGTGCTGCCGCTACACGTGACACGCACTGCATGCAGCTGCTACGTGTGACGCACACTCTACATGCAGCTGCTACATGTGAAGTGCACTATACATGCAACTACTACACGTGACACGCACTCTACATACAACTACTACATGTGACACGCACGTGACATGCATTCTTCATGCAGCTGCTACATGTGACACGCGCATGACATGCATCCTTCACGCAGCTGCTACATGTGACGCACACTCTACATGCAGCCACTACATGTGACACGCACTCTGCATGCAACTGCTACATGTGATATGCACTCTTCACGCAGCCGCTTGATGTGACGTGCAGTCTACATGCAACCGCTACATGACACGCACTCCGCATGCAGGCGCTGCATGTGGTGTACATTGCACATGTCGCCACTGCATGTGACACACTTGACTTTGTTTTTTTGCACATCCTTTTGGCCGCACTGTCTCCTTGGAGTGTGTATGCATTTCCGCAGCATTGAATCAATACAGCACAGGTAAACTCTGGACCCGTTTCAGCATTCATTTTGTTTCTTAAGCAGGCAGGCTTAAACGAATACTGATAAAATTCCAGATCTTTCTAGGCAATGACCCTCTCTGTTGGATATGGGTCCTGAATGATTTAAAATGTCAATTGAACCGACAGCCAATCGGGGCGAGGCTGGAGCCAGGGCCAGTCATCTCACCGCCGTACAGAGGTCGCAACCGGGTACCCGATACTCGTACCCTACACGATACCCGGCTACCCGTACCTGGCCGGGTACAGGTAGCCGTTTGCGACCCTGGTGCGGCCGGGTACGGGTACGGGTAAGCCGCGAGTCACTGGTGAGTAGCCGTTTGTCACTCATTTCGGGTAGGGTACAGGTACGGGTAGGGAACGGCTACCCGTACCCAGCCGGGTACGGGTACGGGTACCCATTTGCGACCCTGGTGCGGCCGGGTACGGGTACGGGTAAGGAATCAAAACCCGTTTGCGACCTCTGCCGTCGTATGACATGCCACATGAGGATAACATCGTGTTTCATGAGTGTCGCGAACACGTTTCTTGTCACGCAAGGTACACGGCATTGCGAACCCACCCGCCCCCATTGTCGTGATTGGTTACAGCAGGTTTGATGTGTATTCTTAGGTTTTTTTCGGTAAAGTCACGTAGGTAAAAAAATTCAAATTAATGTGGCGGTGCTGGAAGGGAGTTGCTTCTATGGCTTTGCTGCCCAGTTTTTATAAAGCTTTGTGTTTTTTCCCCGTTCACTAGTTTTGGAGAATTATGCTTTTGGGTCGAGTTGTGAATGTCTTGTGCAAGATGTGTCTGGGAGTGTGGGGGGAGCGTCGGAGATTCCATTGCACCACAACTTTGCATCTCCCTTTGACCCCCCCCCCCTATGCAATTTATACCGCGCAAGTGAAGCACGCATCCAAGACACAAGAGGTTCAGCTCTTTAAACTCATGACGGAGAGACGAGTTCCAGCGCCGTACATATATCTGAGGGATGTTCCTAACCGGACGGTGTAAGGCGCAACTCCAATGCATTTTATCACTTCAGAAGCGTACAACGTAGAAACGAGTGCCATACGATGTATGAAAGGTCTCGACGAGACTAATCTAACAGTGTATTGCAATTGTTTGTCAGTCTTGAACTTTGTCCGTTGAAAACGTCCGGTGCCGGTAAGTAAAAAAAAAAAACACGAAGCTTTGTGGGTGGATTTGCACTGCAAATCTTTATTTCTTCACGGATTTTCAAACAACAAAGTACTGCGGCGAAGTCCCAAGCTGGCCTACGCATTTACACCATTGAAGGTTTGGTGAAAATCGGTGCAGAAATAGTGCAACGCACTGCGTTTCCTTAGAGTGCGCTTCAAATCCGCAAAAAAACAGCCCGCAATCACTTAAATACAAACTTGCCGCTCTGGACCCACAAGTTGCGTTTATTGGCATATAGAAGATATATTTATCGACACCATATTGCTTTTTTTAAGGCATCTCACTTGCAGAGCTAATGAGTCTTAATTCCATTGCTGGGAGTCCCAAAACCACACTGGAGAGACCCAATTTCAAAGCGGGAGGTGGGGGGGGGTCCCAATTCCAAAATCGAGCAGTCCAAATTCCACATCCGCGAGTCCGAATCGGGACTCCAGAAATTGAATTTGGACTCCTGTAACCAAGGGACGGACTCGGACTTGAAATCGGCACCAGGCATTTTGTAAAAACAGCGGGACCCAAATTGCTGTGCGATTGGGAGCCTCTGAAACACGTTGAGCGCGATGCTGAGGGGTGGGAACTTCACATCTGTCCCACCGAAAAACCCAAGCACCTGCCCCCGGGTCCCCGCTGTTATCGGAGACCCCTCAGCTCTCCGTGGCTCTCTGCAGTGACGGAACTGGGACAAAAAACAAGTATAACCCGTAAAAACAAAGTTTTTTTACTATAAATCCTTTATATGCGTGGTGGCTAGAGTCCTCTCGTCCTCTGGCTTGAGATGGCTGCCACCTATGGGTCAGATGATTGCATTGCACCATTAAGCAATTGGTAATTAAATATAATATTTTTGTCCTAAAAAGTATAAAATTTTGGAAATTATTTTTTGACGAACATTAATTGTCACGCACAACGAGTCTGTGTGGAAATGTCAGCTCGATTGGATCACGGGAAGTGGGTTAAAAAACGACCGAAAGATTTGCACGGTCGTAAGCAAGCAAGCGAACTTAATATAAAGGATTTAAAAATCGGTCCAAGTACTTGTAACAAGTAAACCCGTAAAAACAAAGTTTTTCACTATAAATCCTTTATATGCGTGGCATCGGGGCGGCTAGAGTCCTCTCGTCCTCTGGCTTGAGATTGCTGCCACCTATGGGTCAGATGATTGTCTGGCAGCATTAAACAATTGGTAATTAAATATTTAAAAAAAATTCCCTAAACAGTGTAAAATTTTGTATTTTTTTTTTCACCAAAAAGCATTGTCACGCCCAACGAGTCTGTGTGCAAAATGTCAGCTCGATTGGATCACGGGAAGTGGGTTTAAAATGACCTAAAGATTTGCACGGTCTTAAGCAAGCAAGCGAACTTAATATAAAGGATTCAACAAGTAATCCCGTAAAAACAAAGTTTTTCACTATAAATCCTTTATATGCGTGGCGGCTAGAGTCCTCTCGTCCTCTGGCTTGAGATGTCTGCCACCTATGGGTCAGATGATTGTCTGCCACCATTAAGCAATTGGTAATTAAATATTTAATTTGTTTTCCCTAAACAGTGTAAAATTTTGGATTTTTTTCACGAAAATTACTTGTCACACACAACGAGTCTGTGTGGAAAATGTCAGCTCGATTGGATCACGGGAAGTGGGTTAAAAAACGAGCGAAAGATTTGCACGGTCCTAAGCAAGCAAGCGAACTTAATGTAAAGGATTTAATAAGTATAACCCGTAAAAACAAAGTTTTTCACTCTAAATCCTTTATATGCATGGCGGCTAGAGTCTTCTCGTCCTCTGGCTTGAGATGGCTGCCACCTATGGGTCAGATGATTGTCTGCCAGTATTAAGCAATTGGTAATTAAATATTTAATTAGTTTTCCCTAAACAGTGTCAAATTTAGGAAAAAAAATTCACGAACATTAATTGTCTCGCACAACGCGTTTGTGTGCAAAATGTCAGCTCGATTGGATCACGGGAAGTGGGTTAAAATGACCTAAAGATTTGCACGGTCTTAAGCAAGCAAGCGAACTTAATATAAAGGATTCAACAAGTAATCCCGTAAAAACAAAGTTTTTCACTATAAATCCTTTATATGCGTGGCGGCTAGAGTCCTCTCGTCCTCTGGCTTGAGATGGCTGCCACCTATGGGTCAGATGATTGTCTGCCACCATTAAGCAATTGGTAATTAAATATTTAATTTGTTTTCCCTAAACAGTGTAAAATTTTGGATTTTTTTCACGAAAATTACTTGTCACACACAACGAGTCTGTGTGGAAAATGTCAGCTCGATTGGATCACGGGAAGTGGGTTAAAAAACGAGCGAAAGATTTGCACGGTCCTAAGCAAGCAAGCGAACTTAATATAAAGGATTTAATAAGTATAACCCGTAAAAACAAAGTTTTTCACTCTAAATCCTTTATATGCATGGCGGCTAGAGTCTTTTCGTCCTCTGGCTTGAGATGGCTGCCACCTATGGGTCAGATGATTGTCTGCCAGTATTAAGCAATTGGTAATTAAATATTTAATTAGTTTTCCCTAAACAGTGTCAAATTTAGGGAAAAAATTTTCACGAACATTAATTGTCTCGCACAACGCGTTTGTGTGCAAAATGTCAGCTCGATTGGATCACGGGAAGTGGGTTAAAAAACGACCGAAAGATTTGTACGGTCGTAAGCACGCAAGCAGGCAAGCAAGCAAGCGAACTTAATATAAAGGATTTAAAATATATTCGCCTGTGGAGGACACGGGGATCGATCCCGCAACCTTTGGCATGGGAAGCGAGGGCGCTACCAACTGCGCTACTCCACCACGGCCTGTGGAGGGGTTACGCTCTGGGCACTCTGACGTTCAGCCAAAGCCATGAATGCGTTCTATTTTAATATATGTAAAATAAAAATTTTTGCCTAAAAAGTGTAACATTTTGGGAATTTTTTTTCACGAACAATAATTGTCTGGCACAACGAGTCTGTGTGGAAAATGTCAGCTCGATTGGATCACGGGAAGTGGGTTAAAAAACGACCGAAAGATTTGCACGGTCCTAAGCAAGCAAGCAAGCACGCAAGCAAGCACGCAAGCACGCGAACTTAATATAAAGGATTTAAAAACACCGACCCAATTTGGGGCTATGGGCAATAATTTAATATTTTTTTAATGGGGTTGTGCGGGACACTGCGTAGTACTGGTAGCGAGACGGTGCGACGTGACGACGCGTGAGTGATTTTAGCCGAGCGATCTCATTGGGCCCCTTTGGGGCTGGGTCCACAACAACAAATGGGGCCGGTGAGGAAGAATCTTCTTTGGGGCTGCCCGATACGGTGGGGACCTGGTGGCAACCAGAGGGCGGAAATAAGCAATGAAGCCTGCACATTCGAGGCAATACAATATTTTAATAAAAAAAATAGATTTCTATTTTAATTTTAAATAAAACAATTATTTTAATTACACTTAATGAATTTACATTTCTAATTGAAACATTTTAATGAAAGTCTATGTTTTAAAATATTTATTTGAATTTTTATATTTTTTAAAAATATATTGATATTTAAAAATATATAGATATTTTTTGCTCCGATCACATTTTTCACTTCCCCTCCCCCCACCCGGCCATTTGCCCCTACGGACTGCTGCCCTATGGCCAGGCCGGGCCTGCCTGGAGCCACAATTAGTGATTAGGGTTTAGGGTTATGGCTATAGGGTTAGGGGAATAGGGTTATGGCAATAGGATTGAGGTTGCTATATGTGCACTGTAGGTTAGGGTCAGGACTATCGGGTTAGAACTATGGGATCAATCTTCTTGGTTCTTTCGGTAAAGTCACGTAGAAGGGAAGTAATAAAATAATAAAAATAAAACATAATAAAATGCTGTTGTGGACATGTGCACTAAAGGTTGTGGTCAGGGCTAAATGGTTAGGGCTATAGGGTCATTGATTTAAGGTTGTGGTGGATACGTGGCACTGTAGGTTCTACACACGCCACGTGATCGCCTCTTGTGGACAAATGCACGACTACAGCTGCTGCATTGCAAGGATCAAAATAAACGAGCGGAACGACATCCCTCCACATAAACAATGTGGGTGGGAGCTGGGGGGTAACTCGGTTGGGTGCTAGGGGGTGAGGTAGGTGGGGTGGAGGTTAGCTCGGGGGTTAGGTAGGTGGGGGTGGGTAGGTAGCTAGGGGGTTCGGTCGGGGTAGGTAGTGGGGGGAGGGTAGGTAGGTGGGGGGGTGAGTAGGTGGGGGGTGGGTAGGTGAGGGTAGGTAGCTAGGGGGTTAGGTCGGGGTAGGTAGTGGGGGGAGGGTAGGTAGGTGGGGGGGTGAGTAGGTGGGGGGTGGGTAGGTGAGGGTAGGTAGCTAAGGGATTAGGTAGGTGGGGGGTGGGTAGGTGAGGGTAGGTAGCTAAGGGATTTGGTAGTGGGGGTGGATAGGTAGCTCAAGGATCTTGACGTGCCCAATCTTGGAAGCCTGGATCTGCTTGAATGGGCTATCCCCGCCTTCGCTAGCCCACACTGACCAGCGTGGTGAAGTATGGCTTAACATGATGCAAGAGACGACGAGATGGGACCAGGT